TAGTGGCGAGGCCCCCCTCAAATCGGGATAGCTTGGGAAAACGCCCCCCCCAACGGTACTGTGATGTACTTTTGGTGGTTTTTAAGAGCTGTAGAGGCTAGGGGACAACCACTGAAGCATTTATATACCTTTAGGACGGACTCAGGGCTCTGCAACCCTGAGAAATAATATGGACTCACTTGGCAAGGCCGCTCCAGAGACCACGTAAAAAAATTCATACCACGTCCCAGGGCACCCACTACTTCAAAACAATCGAGATATGGAATATTATCAAGTTTCAAACTGCCCATGAGTTACATGTAATAGTCCAAACAATCCAATCCACCTTGAGCCAGCAGCAGGAATTAACACTTCGGCCAACTCTTGCTAGTAGGTTTTAATCTGGTATGAAAGTCTTCTTTTGTTCAGCTCTTGCTGTTCTCTCAGCAATAAACCGATGCACTTCAAAGGGCACGGGTCAGACAAGCCTGTGTACCGGATTAGGGCAGGCTGAATAATGGCCTGGCTTAATACCGGACTGCGTAGGGTTGGTCCCTTTCCTTACCGGATCTAAATGGTCACCGTCCCTAATACTGCTGAGAGCAAGTTCATATTCATATCTTTTACCAATTTCAATACTTGAGCACTTCTGGTATCAACAAAAAGCAACGGTCACATTATTTTATCTACAGAACAAAATATAAGCAGCAACATGCAACATGAGGTTTCTCATGATTGATGTTAAAACATTTTTAAAAATCCAATGTAACTTGCTTGTAATTTGACATCTGACGACGTCATCGTGACGTCAACCTTGCAAGCACACTTTCAAGTTCATGCACTGTGCCATGTGGGGGAGGATGAAATCATACATCGAAAAGGTAAGCCCAATCACCTAAGAAAGTTGACTGAGAAGCAACTCTCTGCTTAAACCAACAAAGCTCTGTGCAAGAAAGGCCAGAAATGTATGCTGGATGTCTGCTGTGTTTGCACTCATTTTGCAAATAGGAAATTTAATTGATGTATGACCCTTAACCTGGTTGGGGTACTCCGAGTAACTGAAGATCATTTGTTTATTACCATATATTGCATATGCCTGTAAAAACCTATGACAACACCACGGTAATCATGAAAAGGAAGTACACAAGTCCTACATTTGCTTCCTTACATTTTCAACACAGCAGTACCAAAACAAAAATCTATAAATCCTGAATACATCCTCCAACAAATCTGGAAATCCTCTCCCACAGTAGTATGGGAGGGTCTGCGAGTGAAAACCTACCCAAAACAGTTGCTGTAATATGAAAATTTCATTTGTGCCTTATTTTATTTGCTAAATGCTTGATCAACTGCAGTGTGCCCTCTATTCCCATGTTCATCCTTCTTTTGGGGTATGATACCAACAGAGCAAAAAGTGGGAGGACTGTTTGGGATAGGTATTCACGAGCAGACCCTCCCACACTACTGTGAGGGAGGAGTCCACTGCTTTCATCCTATCCCAAACTGTCGCTATAACATGCAGAGTAGCACTGTTCCCCCGGGGGGTTTGAGCGAGGATGCACTACATGAAGGAGCATGGTTAGAAGTGGATATATAATGTAGAAGTGAAGGAGCTACAACATGAAATCACCAGATAAAGGTGCTGTTAGGTAGTTCCAGTGTTGGTCACTCAAGAGGAGAGGAGCCCCTTGGCATCAATGTGGCCGATGTTGGGACTGCCTTGCCATGTGAGCAGTCTCTTTGCAGGACATCGGTGAAGTGGCATGAAGTAAAACGTTGATGGAGTCTTCCAGTATGCTGCCCTGCATATCTCCTCCACTGGAATACCCGGAAGTAGGCCCAGGAAGTAGATACTGCTCTGATGTCATGGGCCCTGACAACATTTGAGTCTGATTTCAGAAGTGTCCGGCCAGTCAGGATTGGCAAATGTGATGGCTGAAACCACCCATCTGGCTACAGTGTCCCTAGTTGCAGCTTGGTGTGGCTTTATCATTGTAATGAACAGCTGCAATGTCGTTCCTCTCAACTTCCAGGTTCTGGCCAAGTACCATTTGAGAGTTCTTACCGGACACCATGGTTTCTCATCTGGAGTTTCAGCATGTTAGGTTATGTCCAGGACAAATATATCAGGAGGATAGAAGGAAGTCAATTGGTTCTTGGTGAGAAAATTAACCCAGGGCTGGATTGAGGCATATGCCATGGGGTTCCCATCTGACGTGGCCATCGGCAATGGATAGCAATTTCGGTTCTCTGCCTCGTTGTAAAGTGGTAACTGCCAGTAGGAAGGCTAACTTCACTGTAGTGTGTGGTAACCAGGCCTCGCTGAGGGGCTCAAATGGAGGGCCAGCAAAGAGCTTGAGGATGGCTGGTAAGTCCCAGGAAGGAACAGTTGTTTGGTAAGGGGGCACTCCACAAACATCCTCGAAGAAGATGTTTAAGTGCATCATTATCCAATAGAGTTGAGCCATCGGGAGAGCCACCATGTATAGCTGCAATGGCATACTAGTACCGGTACAAGCAGTCTGATTAGACAAGGGAAGCAAGGCTGGTGTGGCCAGCTAGAATGGGGCAATGAGAAGTAACCGGCAATGCTCTTGCTGGAGTTTGGAAAGCACTGTTGAGATTACAGATATCAGAGGAAAGGCATAGGCCAGCATCCCGTCCCAGTTGATCTAGAGAGCATTTGTCGCCTAAGCCTGCAGGTGACCATCACAAAACGGGTTTAAAATGATTTCTTTCATTTGAGAACTTGTCTAGCAAAGGTAATTGTTATGTCACTTAGGACGTTGCGGCCAGTTTAACCAGGTTTTTTTTTGTTATGCACTCGCACCAGGCTCGTATCCTTTGGTCATTTAGTTCTTGCTTCAGCGTACATGTGAAATGTTAGAAATGTATAAATCGGGTAACTGGCACTCCAGGAGATGGGAGGGTATATAACCTGCCCCCACCTTGTCTGTATTGAGTTTTGTGGTGTGGGAGCCGGAGTGAGTGTGTCTCGCCGGGTTGGGTTTTCGTCGAGCAGATGGGTGTGGACCTTCAGCCCCTAGTTTCACGACTTTTAGGATAAACTTGATATCAATTTTTTGACTCAAGTATTAAATAAAAACAAAAATACTTATCAGATATACTTCTAGAAACCTTGAGCTTGAATTCAACAGCAAAACATCACGAAACCAGCGAACCAAGGTATCACAAGAGGGTACACTTCGGTTAGACAAGAGAGGGTGCTATTAAACATGGCAACGAAACGTTTGGCAGTTAAATTCGCTATACTGAACGACCGCTGTACCGAACATTTAGTGTGGACCCCGTCTCGTTCATTATAGCGGCATTCCACGGTGATTCTTTTGTTTGTGCATTGCAGATCTCGTATTTGATCTTCTGTTTGTCTGAGGTATTCCTTGATCTTTAGTCTGAGTGGAGCGGTACTAGAGTTCGCTCTGTGACAGTGACAAAATCTGGTGCAGAGCACTGGTAGTCGAGTTCTCTACTGAGGCAAATAGGTCAATGTTCCGTTTTTCGACTTTGGCAAAGATCTGCTCTGCTACGGTGCAGCGCAGTGTCCACTCGGTTGTGTTTTTCCCCAGGAGAGGGCATCTCCAATAATGTTATCAACTCCTGGGATGTGGGTCACTTGCAGCCCAGTCCCTTTGTCTTGTGCCCACAGGAACATCTATCTCGTCATGAGGCACAGACAAGGTGCGTGTGTGCCTCCTTGATGGTTAATATAGGCATTACTGTGGAGTTGTTTGAGAGTATCAGGATGCATTGGCCCCTGATGCTCGAGCAGAAGTACTGTAGTGCGTTGAACACTGCTTGGAGTTCTATTATATTGGATATTATATATTATATAAGTTTGGTGCAGGGGCAGGGATGCTCTCCATCCAAGTTGGGACGCGTCCATGGTTATCGTTACTGCTGGGTTTGCCCTTGGGAACGTGATCCCTGGTAAGGTATTCTCTCATCCGCCACCACTGAAGGTGTGGGCAGACAAAGTCCATTATAGGGATGGGTTGCACGATTTGGTCCCACTTCAGTAGGAAGGACACTAGCAGGTGGAGTTGTAGTGGCCTCATGCATAGTCGACAGAGGGGAACTAGGTCTATTATGCTGGCCATCAGACTTCGGAGGCGTAGCCAAGCTCGGGCAGGGGCTGACAGTCTGAAGGTGAAGAAGCTCATGCATTCTAAGAGGCTGTTGATGCGCTCACTCGTCAGGAAGACTATACCTCGTCGGAGACAGAGGGTCGCACCCAGGTATGTTGGTTGTTGAGTAGGCACGGGTCTCAACTTTCCACGATTGATGAGAAACCCCAAACGACTTGTGAGGTCATTGTGAGGTGAGTGGAAGCCATCATCTCATCTTGGATTCTGCCAATGATAAGTCAGTAGTCCAGATATTGGAACGGCATGACGTCTTGTTTTCGGAGATAAGCAGTAACGATCTGTGCTACTTGAAGAAACTTGCGGTCTTGTGGGTGGATTGGGATGTGAAAAGAAGCATCTTTCAGGTCTATCGACGATACCCGGACAGGAATTGGCAGTGACTGGGTTACCATCTTGAGTGTGAATAAACTTGTTCTATGGTTTCAGGTTAATTACGGGTCTCCATTTGGTGGGTTCTTTCTTTGGTGTAAGGAAGAATGTTGAGATAAAGTCCTCGTTCCCGATTGTTGCGGGGACAGGGTGGATGGCTTGTTTTTGAAGAAGAGCATCTATCTTGGACTCCAGTGCCTTTCATTTGGTTTTCTCAAGAGAAATTGGAGTCAGACGAAGGAGCGGGATGGATGGAGTGGTGCTCGTGAATTCTAAAGAATATCCAAGGGAGACAGTACAAAGCACCTATCTGTCCAACGTGATGTCTCTCCGGAACCCTGTGAACAATTGTAGGCAGCCCTGACGGGTTCGTAATTGGGGTTGCAGATCTGTGTAGTCATCAGCGCTGGCCCCTGAACAATCAGGGGTAGCATGGGCCGGTTGCTCTTCCCTTGTGTCCCTTCTATGATTGTATAGGTGGACGGAAGGACAGAAAAGAGCTAGAGTCCCAGTGCCGGGAAGCCTGCTTTGGGTGTTGGACTCGGCAGTCACTGGCTTGGTACTGGCACTAGGCGAAAGCTAAGCTTGTGGGTGGTGTCAATCTGCTTAGCCTCGGCCTCCATCGGCTCCACAAAATTCCCGGTAAAGAGGTCCTTGCAGTAGAGTAGGGGACCTTCAAACTTTGACTTGATTCCTACGTAGGGGACATTCATGGCTTTGAGCGTACTGGATCTTCGAGCGGATGTAGACATTGTGGAGATCTGTGAGAACTGTTTAAAAATACACTTAATGTTCTCATCAAAGGCCTGGAGTGCAACCACTGCCATGTCTGTGAGTCATCTGGCACACGCCAGGTACTCTTATAGAAGTGACATGAATGTAGTGCATCAGAGACCTTGTTGTGAGACTCTGTCAAGCTTCCTGAGGGTGAACTCCAAGTTAGCCTTGTCCTTGTCTGCGAAGGGGATTTTCCTTGCCAGTTTAATGGTGTCTGGAGCCAGCTTATTGTTGGTGGCAACAGGCATCTCTGGAATGGAGAGGAAATTCTCAAAGTCCTCTCAGGAAAATTGGAAGTAGGCTGCTGCTTTGGGGGCATATGGCTTGCCATCCCTTCATGTCAGCGAGGACTTGAAAAACATCTCGATGCATGAGCAGACCAGCAGTAGCTTCAGAAAAAGTGGAGTTGAGGCCTTCAGTCTGGCAGGTTGGCAATTAAAGGAGGTGTTTGGTGAAATCTCCGCTGGTGTAGAAGCAGAGGGCAGGCCCAGAACCTGGATCATGTTTCTCTGGAGTAGACAGAGAAATACTTGCGGGCAGGACAGACTGCATTGCGGGAGGTGGATGCAGACAGGGATCTGAGGGTAGCCTTGTGAACCGTACCAGTGAAGTGTGGTATTCTTCGGTAGGCACTGTTGGCATAGACCCCACTGTCCCGATAGCAGCACTAGGGGAGTTGAGTATTCTGACCGCATGCACTGCAGCCCAATCCCCTGTGCGTAGCTGTAGTTGTCTAACACCAGTTCTGCCCAGAAAGGGGCTGGAACAGAGTGCACCATTGGCACAGTAATCACACATATCAGCTTAAAACTTTAACTCATCGATCTTACTGTTGACCAACTTCCGTCTGTTTTGGGGGAGAGTTGAAGACTGCTAAATGCATTGAGCCCTCAACTGTCCCAGGTTGCCTGGGTGGCCCTAAATAATATTGCTAGGTGATACTGCTACATAGAATCAACAACAGCAATCTGCAATCATGCAAAGCAAGAGAAAAATACTACCAAAAAAAATGACAAATGGCAAACACAGAGACAGAAAACATGTAGATGTAGAACAGTTTGTTGCTAAAACGCTGCAACTGATCAGGTTACCACAAGAGTGTGGAGCGAGAACGGAAACTCACAAAACTAAAAAACGCCAAAAGACATGAACGTTATCGATGGTGCTAAGAAAAAGGACAAACATGGTGATGGCACAGCAATGCATTATGGGAATAATTGATCAAGTTTTTAGCAAATAAAATAAGGCGCAAAGGAAATTTGCATATTATAGCGACTGTTTGGGGTAGGATGAAAGCAGGGGTGGGCAAATCTCACCCCTGCTGAATTTTCAAAGCACACCGAACAATTAAATTCTAGACTTAAACAGCTCATCTTTCAAACAAATTAACCATGTTCCAATAGCAAAATATTCTTCCAATTGGTCAGAGGCCTGAGCTTAGAAAAACCAAATCAATGTATACCTCTTCGTTGCTCCCCAAATCAATGGTTTCCAGATACTTCTCAGCTACTTCGATAAGAGCATCTTTTGGCCACTCAGTAAACCAATCAATTGTTGTACAGTTCACAAACGCTGGATACATCCGAATGCGGTTTCTGTGAAGTAAAAGTAATAAGGGTATTACATATATACTTGTGTTCTTGTTAAGTAATATATATATAGATTACTTTACAAGACCAGAAGTACAATGAGTTCTTCCTAATGACAAAGTTAAACAACCAAAGCTGAAACTTAATAACTAGGAGCTTTTCAACAAATGACAGACTGCATTACTGAAGCAAAGAAACATTTCTCAGATGGAAATCTCCATTCATAACATGCTGGAAATGAAATCAGGCTTAAATTTACTTATAACCCCCAAATCCTTGACATTATCACTGTCAACCATACTGAATCCATACAACCAATTTGGAAGAGTCCAATGGACTATTCTTTACACTTTGCAAAGTCACAGTGGCAGGGCTTGACCTTCATTGATGCTAGGTTTGGAGGGATCAAAAAGAGATACAGGCACAATAACCAGGCCAATTAAGTGTGAGTGAGAGAAATGGGAAAAATGTGCACAAGTCTCCCTGGGAAATCCAGTTACAGTCTATACAAAAGAACACCATACTGAACATGACAAATTCCACAAATTGTTTGGTACAACAGTCATTTAGAGAAACAATTTTCAGTCACCAATACATCTGACCCTGGCCCATTTAAATGCACAGTAGCCTGCCTCACTACTACGGTTACCAGTGCTCGTCTCCCGAAAATCCCCTTTGGCACAGGGGGTGAGACCAGGCATTCCAACAGCCCACATAATGGGTTTCTTTTAAGTCCCCCCCTTCCAACTAATCCCTGCCCTGATTAAAATCCAGAACAAAATGGTTGGGACATGTGTCATTAGCCATACCATTTCTAGGTTCCCTACTCCCCTGATCAAAGTTGCCATCTCGAGCTGGAGTGCAGATTGCACAATGAGACACAACATTAAGATGGGGACGGGGGGTGGGGACCCAACGAGATTTGGCCAGGATTGTAGGCAGGCAATGGTAATTTGGCACGCTCTCTCCCTTTCCTGGTATTACGCTATGCATTGAACACGTCTGGAAAAAGCGTTCCACGGTTTTCATTGTTTTGACCGTCTTAAGTTGTTACCTGAGGGGGAACAGATGCTGAAAACGGAAGATGAAGTGAAGAAGAAGTGAAGAAAATGACTCGCCAAACCCGTGCTCAGGTTCAGACCCTCCAGTCCCTCCTGAGCCCAACGCCGCGGCCATTGCTGTTTGCTCCCAGTGACAGTCTTCAAGAAGAGCACCCTCCAGTGACACCTACTGTACACTGTACAGTCCACTGTACACACTACAGTATTGACAACAATGGACTACCTTGTGGAGGCTGAGACAATGGCAGATTTTTCTATCGTCGTGACTGTTGACACTTGCGCCCTTGACTCCCGGCCTTCTCAATCCTTTGATGTTCCAGGAACCCCTCTTCCACTCACACCAACCCCAACCTCAAGCTCAACCTGCCACGTTCGCTCCCGAACCCGGGCCCTCCACCTCTGGCCAGCTTAGGCAGCCACAAGTCTTCCAGAGCCAACTTGGCTTCCATGTGCCATGCTACTACTGGTTCCCAGCCCCCCACACTTGTTACTCCAACCCGCCACTGGCCAACCAACCCCTTAACACCACTAATTCCATTGACTTCGGTAGGGGCCCTGCTATCAGTTTGCGAACCTCTAGGGACCACAGTTTCCACTGATACTAGGGAAAGAATAGCCAGTAGCGACTTTCTATCTTGCATTTTCCCCACTGAACCTAAGGTGACTCCTACCCCTACTCAACACTTACCCCAGGACTAAGGCAGCTTGGCTAACAAGGACCCCTGCACTCCTGGGGATGCTAATAAAATGACTTCAGAGAGAAATAATCCCATGCTAGCACTTGAGAAGCTGTGAAAAGAGGTTATACCGGGACACATGGAAGGTCCATTTCCAACAATTTCTCATAGAGGTCTTGTCCCCAAAACTGAACCTGGCAGCTCTAGGCTTATAAAGCAGCTTTCTCATCCCGAGTCCGACTCCGCCAATGACGGCACTGATTATGACAATTATGTTCGGTACAATACACCTCCTTTGAAGATGAAGTTAACTTGGTAGTAAGTGTGGGAAAAGGAGCCCTCATGGCAAAAGCAGACATCAAATCTGCACTTTTTGATGACTTCTGCCTATTGGAATCAAACTTCAGGATAAGATATTCATGGACAAAACACTCCCAATGGCGCCACATGCAACCCTGCATACTTTGAGCATTTTTCACCTTTGTGGAATTGGCCGCGCTGGTTCAGACAGGCTCCAGTTGCATATGTCATTATGTAGATGATTTCCCAATGGTGGGGGGGCAAGTTCTAGTGGGCTTCTTTTGTGTTGGAGTTTATTGGACATTTTCACCGGGTACATGTAAGTGTGGCAGTAGGGGTGCCATAGTCAAATAACAATACATTCCTTCAAACAACACAGCTTATGTTTTGGGGGTTGAAAATTAATTCTGTCGTGCAGACAGTGTCTATCCCTACAAACGTCAAAACATATCCGAAGAGGTTCAGGATGCACTTAGTCCTTCTAAGGCAGCACTTAAAACCCTCAAATCACTAATAGGATCTCTATCGTTTGTGTATCATGCTGTCGCCCCAACGTGCTTTGGGGGTTACTTTCAACGCCAGTGGTTTAACAGGGTCTGGCCACAGTTCATTCCCTTTCAGCATTGTGCCTGGTTTCTCCATCTCTGGCCATCTCCAAGTGGCCATATAGCTGCATTTATTGCCCACCTCTCCCTGGAAGGTCTCTCCCCCTCTACAATTGGTATGTACACAGCTGCTACCGCTTATGTGCACAAACGTAACGGTTGTTTGTTCATAAATGAGGGAGGGTCGCCGCTGCTGCGTACACATACTCAGCAGTCTACACGGCTACCTGTGTGCACGCATTTACTTGTACCAGCAACTGATACGGACTCTGTGTTGGCTACTTTCCTTTGCAAATAAAATTTAATTTCCTTGATTTTAAGTCCTAAATCTATTTCTTTTTTTTTCAAGCAAATTTCAGTGTTTTTAAAAGTGTACGAAAAGTTCAGAGGCTAAGGCAATGTTCAGTATACCAAATGTTCTGCACAGTCATTATAGAATTGTACTGTATTTTTCAAGACATATTTTTTTCAAGATGTATTTTTGTACTGTAAATTGTAAATTGTACTGTAGTTAAATTTAAATGGTGGATTGACCATCAATATGCAATGTCATATAAGGTGACTTGCTGACAAACGTACATGTACAGGTTTGCATTTTTAATGATGGTCAAGCCTTACCACTCTGACTTTTCATTTGAGAAAATATAAAGAACGACCCATTGGATTCCGGCACAAAAGCTGGGTTTGAGATTCAGTATGGTTCATAATAAAACAGGTTCAGGGGTCGACATTAAGCAGATGCATCAAGGTTTTGCTTCTGACAAACCATGATTAGTGCCTGGAAACCAGTGATAAAGTAAGAGCTTGGGCACTGAAATTAGCGGCAGGCCATTACTGATCCTCTTTGAGGTGATGACACACATTGCTCAAAAGAAATCATCAAAATATTTACCAAAACTTAGCACTGAACCGTCCAAATCAATCAGCTGTAACTCCACGTACAGACAAACACTGTATACAATGTATACAACTAATGACTATGCACAGTTTGTAACCTCGTCCACACCAATCATCCTGCTGCATGTATGAATGCATGCAACAGTATGGCCTTCAATATTGTGGGAATGAAGTCTGAGCTTCACTAACATGCTTAGTTCTAAACTGATCAGATATGACCAAGAGTTCTGTGCCAAAATGTGGGATGAATGAAACACAGTGAAATTGAGGTACATATAACTAAAACTCCAAGGCACTTGAATCAATGGTGCACACTACCACTGCAATGGAAATTCAGTTAAGAGATTCGGGCGGGCCCGTGGCAGGATAGGTTTGAAATACCAGAAGCCAAGTATACACAGTCTCATTTTTCCAGCGTGCTTAGATTTTTGGGTTGTATGCAAACACTGCCGAGCGACCCAAACTGGGACCTAAACGTATGCACTGTGAACCACATTTTGGTTTTCTTTTAAGGATGTGCGGAGTTCTTACATCCCCATGCCATGATCGTGGCACAGTAGGCCTTTTAAAATTTGTGTGGACGTCGGTGCGCCTGCTTTGAAGTGGTTTTTGCAGAAATTTTGTTAGTCATGGCATAGGATCTGGTGGCATGGTGTCTGGTGTCATGTTCAAAGGATGAAAGAAGAAATGTCACAGAACAAATGCTATCCATGAGAAGGTTGTATCCTTTTGAGATAATGGAATTGGCAGAGAGGAGCATTAAGTCCCAGGCCAGGCTTCCGGTAGGGCAAGGGGCAGAGTGACTCGTGACTATCTGGCTTAACATCCAATAAATGACAGCAGCATTAAAGACAGCAGTAAAAAGCAACTGCTCTTTGATTTTCTGACAAAGTAATTTAGCATTGATAAATTAAATATATATTGTGTTTGCAGGAAATACTGAAAACTACACCCCTAGGCAACTGTAATGTGTAGAATACATGTATGTGGATCAGACAACCCTTCTGTATATTCCCTTGTATTTATCCTATAGACTTTGCCAAATCCCGAGCACTGAGTGTACGTACGTATGTACGTGAGACTGGAAAAATCAGCACGCTGGGATGGCTGGCAGAGAATGGTTCTTGTCTTCTTTATTGCAAATTTACACTGAAAATGAAACTGGGAGCAACACTAAAGTATTAAACCAAAAACCCTGGGAAAAGTCATGATATGACTTCACCTAAAACAGCTCCCAGGTTGATTGAAACGGCTCCTGAAAACCCCTGAAATTTGAAAGGCCAAGAGCTGTTATCTTCAGGCCAAAAAGCTTAATGTCGACCCCTGAGGGTGGTTGGCAGGGAAAAAGGCATGTCATTTGCTTACTATGCCCATGCAATACATTTATGGTTATCAAAAGTGAGATAGCATTTTCTGTATTCAGAAGTAAATTTGTTCTTATTTGAAGCATGCAATAACTTGAGCAGCAATGATCTTTGAATACCTGAATGGGTCTCCAACTGGACTCATGCAAAGCACCACATGTAGATTGGTTCGTACTCGCTCAATATAGTAGGCAAACATGCTTTCTGGTGATTCATGAATGCCATCTTTCTTGGCATCTGCTGAAAGAGCATTGCGGACCTATTGAAAATAAAATTGAAACAAACTGGTATTATTATGAGGGTTAAAATCAACCATATACAAAAACAGATTTTAAAATCTAAAGTTCAGATTTCACCATTTATTACGACTCCTCCAACAGCTGCAAACACCACACACAAAAAACGGTGCCCATTGATGGATGCGGTATGCAAAATGAAACATACTTCCAAACAATGGTTGACTGACCATTGTTAAAAACAGAACAAAATTTTTATTTTTTCTTGGAAACAGCTGTATTCTGGGCGTAAATATTTTACAGATTGACCAAGGCTGTTTTTTTTTAACTTTCTTTCAAGGAAAATATTCAAGGATTATTGGGCAGTTCCATATTCGTGATTTTACCAAATTGGTGTAACCTACTTTTCAAAACTTCTTTAATTTACACATGTATAAAAAAGCAACACATCATTAATGTTTAATCTGATACCAGACAGCCATATATAGCCTGACAATCTCAAGCAACTTAAAGCACAAAGCCATCATTTATAAAAGAGAGAATTTCATTCAGAATTTTACCTCTTCAAACTCTTCTGGTTTATACATGGCAGGCACTTCCCCACTGCTAAGAATGTTGTTGATGTCTTCCAGGAAAGATTCTTCCACTACTTGTGTGTCATTGAACAGGAAGACTGTTGGCTTGTTTTCTACACCTGCCATGTAATACAGGCGCTTCAAATCTGATGAACAAAGAAGTTTCAATAAGCAACCTCGGCAGTCAATTTTGTGAAAATTTACAAAACTGTGTAAGTCAAATTGTATGACATTTTATTGGAAAAGTTGTGCAAAATCTTGCAACACATTTTGAGCTGATGGAATGAAATGAGGTGTGCAAATCTGAAATTTGGTGAAATCATTTCACTGGCATTAAATTCTAACACACAAATCACAAATGAGTAACTGAAAAAATAATCCTGTTTATTGTAAAGTGTATTATCATTTCACTTGTATAAGGTTAATACCATAACTTCTGAGAATTGTTTCTTGGAATAAAATGCATCTTTCATGATCAGAATGTCAAGAGATGCCAACGGTTCCAAGGAAATAAGACAAAATATGATTAAGTCTATTCATTAAATATTTTGTAATTTTTTTGTTATAGTATAGAAGAAGCAGAACAATCATAAAACTTTCACAACTATCTTCCAACATTTTGGTGGGTAAACTATTCACAGCATTGTAAAATTTTTATGATACAACTGCAAAATAAATTTGTTGTATACATCCAATATTTGTATATGGTATTACACTCTCTTGATATTGGCTGCAGATTTTTCACAATGGGGAGATAGGTTCAAAGTAGTTTACTAACTTTAAATTCTCAAAAACATGGTTGCAATTTTCCACCTAGAATGACATAGTTGTAAAAGGGCTATTGTACTGAGAGAGGGCATTAAGTGGGTGGGGTGCGACTATACTGCTGTATTGACATAATAAGCAAATAATATGACTATGGAACATGAATTATTTTAAATTGAAACTCAAGTTTGACAAAATTCAAACAATTACAAGGGTAATGTATGCAAAAAAAAAATTTGAGAAGCTTCTCCGTCCACTCAGCTAAAGCCACAGTTAATACAAAAGCTTCCGGGTACATCTCCCATAAGCTTGATTTAATGTTGTCCCAACAGCTACACAATCAAACATCAAAAACACTTTAAGATAGTCTGACGATGAATTTGATCTTGAAGGTTTAAGAGAGGAGAAGGAGGGGTTGGTCCCGAACTAAATTTTCTGGAGTCTCCTTCCTTTTTGTGGTAGAAATGAAATTTGAGGATTTTTATTGGCTTTTTCAGCTTTGAAGCTAAATTTTGGTGAGGCCAGGAAATAAAAATCCCCCAACTGTCTTCACTGTATTTTAACCACTTGCTGCCGGGTGCCCTCGGAAATGTAGTGTCTAATGCCGGGCAATTTTTCAGTATCTTTGGTTTTCAAAAATCTTCAAAAATTCACATCTTTTTTCCTGAATGCCTAAACCCCATCGAGTGACTGTCTGGTGGCTCCTCTAAGCTGACAGACATCTATTTCAGCCAGGCCTGCCACCTTGTAAACAGAGCTCAGATTGTGTGGTGTTTACATAAGTTTCTTCTGTTCCTGAAACTGACATAGTGCACTGCTGGAGTATTTTCAATACGGGCCAGATTAGCATGCAGTGGTATTGTATCGCTCATCACTGGAGTACCGAAGCGCTTTTGTCTCCAGTATTAATCCCTTCATGCCGAATGCCACAGACAGTGGTATAATCTTTCAAATTATGAGAGATTTCCTCCGCTATTGAAAACTGAAAAAAATGTTGGCAATTCCCGGTAGCTCGGTCTTTTGTACCAAGTACGGTTTTTGTTACAAGGCTCAGCTCTTTTGTCCAATTTCGGGCACCCTGGCTATGCGTACAAACCCAAGGTACCCGAAACAGGGCTCCCCGGCAGCAAGTGGTTGAAAAGCAAAAGCATTCTGATTCCTTGATTTTTCTTGGGGGTAGTTATTCCCTCCCCCCTCGATGGACCCAGTGACAGAGCTTAAAGAACCTGAGAAATGGATTGAATACGCACTTGAAATAATCACAATCTAAGTCAAATGATAAAATCCTAATGAGGTCATATCTGTGTGTTCATCCAAGCTATAGTGTTTCGTCAAGTGTCGATACCCTGCTAGAAATCCTTTACAACTTCAGCAAGCACAGAATAAGCATGTCCCACAATACTGTAATTGGTACAGAATTTCAAAAAGATGCACCAAATATTCATACACCTTGCACACATGCAGAATTGTTGACTAATGTGAGACCTTCTAAATTAAATTCCTTCCCCACGTTAAGTGTGACTCGGGTCTACTAGAGAATACCTACTCAAACAGTCATTTAATATACAAATTTCCCATGCGCATATTCACTGCATTCAACTATTATTCCCTGCATTCACTGAAAAGATTTGATGATCCATGGTGCACCCTGACCTCCAATAATGCAGCGCGGCTTCGCCGCCATGATCGGCCTTCTTTTCAAAAGCGACTCAAAAGGTCAGAGCCAGAGTGGGGAGGACGGGCGGGAGAGGACTGTTTGGGTAGGTATTATCTAGTAGACCCAAGCCACACTTAGTGTGGGGAAGGAGTCTACGATGCTCTACCTACCCAAACAGTTACTACATATGCAGAGTAGTACCAGTCTAGGTGGGAGGATGGCAACGACACATCTTGTGCTGAGAATACACTTTTACATATAAGGGAGCTTGTCCAAAAGGTTGAACCTTGGTTTGAACACGGACACCGTGGTTTTCATAGGTCCTTAGGGACCAGCTGACTGTCCACTGCCTGTTTCAACTTACCATATCAAAGGAACTGACTAACAAAGCCCCATATTGTTATTTAAATTTTACACCGGACACAGCTAGTGGAATCTGACCGCGGCGGCTGTGGTCGGTTCCACAGACACTTTGGAGAGCTGCAGCCGCCGTGTCTATTTTAATTTATTGGAATCCAATCCCTAGCCTTTAATTGTTGCACAAGAGTCATGTTCAGTTGACTTGCGGTCCTTGGAGTCCTTCTTTACAAGTTGCACTTTTGTGCCACAGAGTTTGTCAGTGCATGATTGGTTAGCCTTAATTCATGCACTTTGAAATAATTGGCACTGGCCAAACCCTTTCACTGCTGTAATTACAACATCAAGTGTCTTGTTTCAGAGGCACACTTTAAATTCCCAACAACTGTTGGTATTCCGTTCAGAGCTTGCTATCCAATCTCACTGAAATACTTTGTATAAATGTTTGAGGAGAACCACCGCCTGATCTTGGACACATCGGAGAAGTAGGGCCTACACACTGGAGCTGTCAATCACTGTTTAGAAAGGGGATTTTTTTCTTTGCAGATTGGATAATTTTTTACTTTTATCTGATTGAAAAGGCCCTCAGCCGTTAAAAATTTAATGCCCAAATTTTTTCGAGACACATGTACAAATACACGAAAATGATTACTGTTGGTCATTTTTACGTAATTTTTCAGGGAGAAGGGGCATAGTATAATTTCAGAATGAAGTCTTTCAATCTGAAAACACGGACTGAGCATGTATTTCAGAAATCTTGCACATCTTAGCCTCTCAAATAAGCATTTTTCCCAATGCTTAATGAGAGCAAACCCATTTTCTGCTTTAGATTTTTGTGTCTATTGTTACTATGTTTTTGGGTAAAATTCAAATTATACCCAAATTTATGATCGTATATAGACATACCCCGTAAATTGTTTTTTTCCCAACTGTGCCAGCAACCTCCAGGTCATCATCCCGGAGCTACTATGAGTAGCGCTTCAAGTGAGTCTTTAGACTTAACAGTCTATAGAATATGTACATGTTTAAGTGGTGAATAAAGCGGGTATTTTTGTCTCAGACATTTCTTTTTTAATAGATGTATACCAATATGGTCAATTGGCCATTGGGTACATTTTTGGTGAAGGGCAAGAGGAAAGAGCAAATTTAATATACGCCCATAAAAGTGAAAAGGCTGGTCCATACTTCAGGGAAATGCAAAAATAAAGTGAATACAACGTCATGAAAAATTTGTGACTTTATGAAAAAGTTGTAGCGATATTTCGCCAGAGATGAAGTGAGTTTGACTTTTGCAACTTCTGACCTCAAAATTTTGCACACTTGTTTGCTTTCCGATTGAATATGAACTTACCCATTTATAAAGAGCGCTTGCAAATCGCGGTGGTGGAAACACATGCGCAGTGTATCACACTGGTTACCGCCGGCCGAGCCGTTGGCAAAGAAGGCATGAGGGAAATGCGGCAACCAGTCAATGTACAATTCCTGCCAAAAGGGTCGCAAACGTTCCACTACATGTACATCGTCTATGACTACAGCTGTACAGTTGCAAGTCAGAAAAAAAAAACACTGCCCTCACAAATTGTTTTGCAGGTTCATTCACAAAAAGTGATCTCATGTCTATCTTGGTGTTTTCTGTGTTCATGTATGTACTACTCGTATTTGAAACGAGCGTTTCGGCAAAATTTCCAGATGCAGCAAGAGGCTAATCGCCCGCCCTCCAGATGCGTCACACACTCTTACAATGCGATACACGGACATAATTTACCAGTTTCATGTAGTCATGACAAACGTAAAGCACGATTCAAAAATCAGTGATTTTTTACATTGATTACAAAAACGTCAAAACAAAATTTCCCTTTCCAATTCCGATAAGAATATGGCCAAATAAGTTTGCTTGACTACTCTCACATTTCAAGAGCCTAACTAATTGCCCAATACTGAATTATTTATATTGCTGCAAAAGATCTAGCGTACCTGCCAATGAAACTGTGTTTCCTTGACGTACATTTTGCAAGACACAGCTATCCAATTGCAATACATGTATGTCTTCATGACATCGTGCTTCCTCAGCAACCATCTCGCACGCGGGCGACCGCGCCACATGCTCGGACTTTCAATAAATCGTGTCATGCAGCTAGTGTTGAAAATCATAAAACATACAAACAATTAAATTTAAAAAACTTTCCATGACACAATTTGTGCTGGGAAGACTACTTGGATGGGGGCTTCAGTTGAGGAATCTTCACATTCTTGCAGGTACACACAGGCCTACATGTGTATGCCATATAGCATTCGTTGTTATCCATGGCGATCGGAAGCCTTTTAAAAAAATCCCAGGATCGATGCTTTCACATGTATTTGCTTTTTTAATCTCACATGCACATTAATATTTTTCATATGACAGTGAATTTCATTATTCTAATCACATCACAATGTATTTGATTAATTCGTTGGCATTTTCACAAAGTGACAAAAACCCGCCGGTGGAAAATCAAAAATTTTTCAATCTGGAGTTTTTCCTACCATTTCCTTTGATCTAAAGAACAAATTGGCTAAGTTTCAAAGCGAAATGTTGTTTAATTTCATAGTACCCATAAACAAACAACCAACAAAAGCTTGGCATCTGTGCTTCTCTACTTTCACGAAGTGACAAAAAAGTCACATTGTTATCCTTGAACGAGTCTGGGTGTACACATGCGTGCAAACGATGCTGTGCATGTACAGTACCTCTAGCCTACATGAAAAATGCGCACATGTTGAAATACTGGATAGCGCTCTCCATGTGTGATTCGACATTGTGCCGAGTAAAATATTATTTTCGGGCATTGCGCGGATCCCTTTGTGACTTTCTAAGAAGAATTCACCATGGTTATTTCCCCGACGTTTTGAATTGCAGATGCAGTGCCCACATTCCGAGGATAACCAGTAGATATACGTGTACATGAACATGTGCATGTGTACACCGAGCGTCTGTCTGTGCTCCATGCATAGAAAATATGGGTTGACCGCGGTCGCTGCGGCAGGCATGCATAATTCAAGACATGATCAGCATAACAACTGCGTTCATCCCGGGGCTGCCTCATTAAATGTTCTTGGCATGAGTGAACTTCAACGTGATCGCCGCAAATCCTAGCAACAGGGCTTAACTGCAGTGACTGTTTGTGGTTAAACCACAGCGACCTTTTGGACAAACTCCCTAAACAAGGAGGAATGTATAAATTCAAGAATTGGTACAGGAACTTCATAATGACTTGTCGTCCGTCCTACAGGAGGCCCCTTTGACCTCTGCGCTGCAGACAGTAGAATTGTTCTGCCATTTGCGTTGTCACCCTGCAGGTCATCCCTCAAGTTGCAGGAGGTAGAAGGAGACTTCCAACATGCAGTTTTGCAGATGTTTGCAATGGAAACAACTCAAGAGAAAGACCAAGATGCAGATACTGCTCTTGCGTCATGAACCCTAATGTAGTAATGGCTATGTTCATCAGAGGTTAATGGCTAGACTGGATCAGCAATCAGTACTCAGTGAAGTGCATTATGGCAGGCCTGCATGGCGGAATCTGTGCTCACGTGGAGCCACGCAAGTGGGGGCCACAGAATGGTCATTCTGCTGATCACAGGGTTGTACGTGGTGAGAAGCAGAGGAAATAGATTTGCAAAATTTCTCCCACAGGGCCCCTTGAGGAAACCCCAGATTACAGGGTGCCAAGGGGTGTGTAAAAATTCCAACAGCTTGAAGAAGGTTAGGTTCAGATGCCTGGGGATGCGGACTGGAGAGACGCAGCAGTAGTTCTGCATCACGATGACAAATACACCATGACAGAACTGAAAAAGATAGGAAGACTGCCTGGAAAACGTTATTTGTGTGTTCCTGTCTTGGTGCCAGGTGACACAGCCTCGAATGCTGGTAGGTTTTGACTTGTAGCTGTCATTAGAGATCATCAGGTAAGGCATGGATGTGCTTCCCCGTGGCCTGGGCGAGCTTACCGATGGCAACGAGAGTAGCTCCAGAAGGCCGTAACAGAGACTCGGTATTGGGTCCGTGAACCGATGGCGTATTCACCAGGGCGACGATCCGGGGAATTGGCCCGGAAAGTGCTACCATGTGAATTACGTCTAGACATGTCGGATGCTAGGTCACATTTGTGTGTAACAGCCGCCTGGAAAAGTGGGGCTGTGGCTCATAATCATTTAAGGAGGGAGCCCGATGGACTCTCACAATGCAGATATAATCAATGACAGAGCAATGATAATAAAAGGTCATATCTATGACAAGGAATTTCTTTCCTTTTTTTTATTTCTTTATTTTCCATAAACTGATAACATAAGGAATTTGTAAAGTCCCAAGGAACCTGTTATAACAGTGTTCCAATAGAGTAGTTGTCTCCAAGACATTCTTCTTGAAGGCCCTAGATAAAGGGAAGGCAACGAGGAGATGTTGCTTGGCACTGTATACACCGGGGCCGCTCTGAATTACAAGACGAAGCAGTCCATTAAGGCGAAGGGTCAGTTGACAGGCACGGGCGTAGTCGTTGTCTTCCTCCGGAAGGGAGGCTGACGGAGGATCCAGAATCTGGAACATGTCAAAGGCGGTGAGGAGGCCAATAAAATCGGTGTCATCTTCAACCAAAGGCATGGTCCCTTTGCTTCGACTGAAGTAAGGCCGTGCTATAATCAAGAGCCGAGAGTGCCCCTCGACGATGTCTAGTTGAAAGCCTGAGTCACAGATGTGCTGCGATGGCTTGAAGCCCGAGCGGCAAGCAGCCTGGCAGATGGGAGAGGTCAATGGTAACTGCAGAATTTCACGCAGAGGGGCCAGGAAAACAGAGCTCCAATGACAAGGTGATGCCAATTAAAAGCCAAAGTCGTGGTGGCTTGAAGCCGCGGTGGCAGGCGGCTGGGAGGTGGAGGTGGCAGACAGGGCCGCAAAATGCCCGAGGGGGTGTTCCCAGTCGAGGTCAGCAGGAACTGCAGATTTATGGGCAGAGGGACCAGGAGAAATGAGGTCCGATGACCTGGTGATGCCCAGTTGAAAGCCAGAGCCACGGATAGGCTAAGGCGGCTTGAAGCCCCGGAGACATAAAAACCCTGGTATGCTCCGCGGGACCCGAAGAGGGATTGGCAGCTGTCGGGGTGTCAGATGGCTCGATGGCACACCAGACAGGGAGGGCCCTGGCATTTGCAGGGAGCCTGCCCGGCCTGGTGACTTCAGTATATGGGTGAGATGGGGTCGCTGGGAATGCTGGCCGGAATGCTGCGTGGATTCCTCTGGGCCATGTCAGGTAAAACGCATGGCATACCTCACGATGATGGAAGGACGGGCCCCGGAGACGTCTGATGGGGTACTCTCTGGGAGTTCTGGCTGGCTTGCCAGGCCAGCAATTGACCAAGGAGACAGTGTCCTTCCCAGATCCTGGCAGTGTCCCTGCTTGGGTCTTCCGCAGTCGACCACAGAGCTTCCCCGTCAGCTCCGTGGGGCTGAACGAACCAGGGGCCTGGCCAGATCCTGGCTGGAACCCCCTAGATGACAGCAAGGCCTTTTCCTTGTCCTGGTAGCCGGAGATGACAGGGGAGTACGACAGATCCTGACAGCGACCCCTGAATTTAACGGGCTAAGGCCAATAATTCATTGGTGAGGTAGACACAGCGTAGCTTGAACGAACCTCGTAGTAAAGACAGTAAACACTTGCAGGGTGCACATACAAGAAAACTGAAGAAAGAACACAAAAATATACACAAAAAGAACACTTTTACCAATAAATGGATAAAATCCAGGTTATACTTTGTTAGGAAGGAAAAGTGATCAAATCGACCCAGAACCGTGTAGCGAAAACAGAAGCTCGATAAATTGAAGATGCCTCAAAAGACACGTCCATTACGTTACGGCGCTTAGAAAAGAAGGATGATTGTGGCGGCAAGGCCGCGCTGCATTGTGGGAGGTCTGGGTGCACTACGGGTGATCAAATCTTTTCAGCGAATGAATAATACGTGCACGGGAAATTTGCATATGTATCGACTGTTTGGGTAGGTAGAGCGCCATAGACTCTTTGAAATAAAATGTTCTTGCTCACAAGTTGTTATACTTACCATCCCTGAATTCCACCTTCCTGTATACACGGGTGACTTCAATCTGGAATGTCTGATACTCACAGATGGAGGCAGCAAGTCTTGTTAATGACTGGCGTCCACTACCACCAATACCCACAAGTAGCATATTACCGCGAGGTTGGCCAATCACACGAATGATACGGGATACTGTAAAGCCAAATTGTGGTAGGAGATTTTCTGTGTCATATTCTCATATTATCCTTTAAAAATAAGGCTATTAAGGTTCTATCAACGCCTTGCTCTCTAACTTAAGAACTCAGGTGGACACATCCAATTCTTTCTGTTGTAAATATTATGACATACAATTTGTCTTTAAGATGAAAAGTATGCAATAATTAGATAAGTTAATGACAACTTCTTTTTAATGATCACATGGCTAATATCTTACCATGCTCAATTGCATCTCTGAACAGGACTAGATCCATTGCAATGACACCTGGGGTACTGTTATAGTCTTCCAAGGCATCCTCCATGAACCTCTTGAGGGTTGAAAACTCTTGTAAATCCTCATATATTGGCACTTCTGCCTGAGAGATGAAGTCACCTGGGATAGGTTGAGTGCCAGACCAAATGAAAAAAAATGTTTTGTCTTCTGTTCGAGTAAGGGGGCAAAATAGACGATGCATTTTAAACCTTGATCAAATATTGACATAAGTAACATAGCTCTGGTAACATTTTAAACTTAGGTCTGGAGACTACTCGTCATAATAATTGTCTCACATATCAACAACAGACTTCTGATATTAAAGATGCTAACAAAAATTAAGAATAATTCAGAAACTTGGTAACTTCTCTCACGATCAATCATACACTGGAATGGCAAGATACTACGACTTCACTGACAGTTCGAAAGGCAGAAAAAATAACCAAAAACTTGTTTAATATACATGTACTTTTGCTATGCAGTCCCAAGTGATGGGAAATCAATGTCATCTGCTTGAACTACAGCACTGTTTGGCACAATTACATGTAGTTTCCTAATATGCTAATATGAATCCTCTGCATTAAGCCTCACATTAATAAAATTTGGAGCAAAATAATATTTGCATTATTTTTACCTAATATTCTGGTTCTTTGCTTTAACCCTCAAAGAGCAGAATCTATCCCCCCGATCTCGGCTATACGATGATGTATTTCAATGAAATTTGGCACTATCTTAGAGGCACACATACTGACCATCTGTGTAAAATTATATGTAAATTAATTAAGTTTTTATTTTAATTATTCATGATACAAATTTGTTTATCTTCTTTTGATTGTCGGGCGATTTTATTGCATTTTTCACGTCAAAGATGCTGTATGGATTGTATATTCAGTGGAAATGAAAACAGAGATGCTATGAGCTGTATACAGTAATATGCATAAGTCAATTATACAATTAATCACATGTTAATTTACTTAATTACCCAAATGTAAAGGTAAAATTTGGCAATCAAAATTGTTCACATATGTAGCTGCAGTTTATATTTATCATCAAATGAAAAGTTACAACAAAACTAAAATTGATCACTTGTTCATTATTTAATTAGCTAAAAGTCTGCAATTTAGCTCATTAAAAGGCAGAGTGTTAATTAGCGAGAATTAACTAATATTTCCAAGAATATGAATATGAATCTCAGTTTTGCATGGGCAACATTCATGTAGCCACGGGTTTACATTTATTATAATATTCACATTTATGTATAATAAATTTAGGGTTGATATAATACTAATTTGTCTAAATGTAATTAAAATCTTCATTATAATTAATCAGTAAATGGCCAATTGAGCCATATCGATAGACCTTCCCCAAAGCAAGAGACATCATACTTCACTCTGCCTCCTAAAATTCTTTACTGAGAGAGAACCCCAAAATTTGGGGTCAAAATGAGGCTAATACATTGGAAAAAATTGTCATAAAGTATTATCATGAAGAAATTGATCCCGGAGATGCTATAAGCAAAATAAACAGAGAGTGGATTCTCCCCCCCCCCCGACTCTTTTAGGGTTAAAACATATTTCATCAACTGTTAACATTACACAGTTTTAAACTGAATATAATTAAATAAACTGTTGAATTAGATGGCGGTTTTGAATATTTTAGAAGGGATCCAATGTGAGAAATTGTACATGGATTGTTCACTTGTGCAGAAAAAATTTCTTAAACACTCTGCATGTCTATTCATGCTTAAAACTGACGCACAAAAATAATTCAAAGTAGAAAGAAGGCACGTAAGAAAACATGTAACATACCAAAGACAGGTGGCTGTTTGTTCGGACAGATGTTGTGGAAAGTCTGTTCAAAGAGATTGCCAAGCTTCTCACTCAAGATGTTCACAAAAGCCTCACTGTCTGTCTCATTGACTAAACGGTCTGAAAAAACCCTGCCATGATAAATTGAACACGAGGGGTATGGTAATAATAATTAAATCACTGCCTTTGTATACCAATGTCAAAGTTTGTACATGTGCTGATCCTGATGGATGTTTGAGAGCAATTTGTTTCAATTTATGAGGCAAGTATTCAATTTTTAAAGCTAATAGTTAGGCACCTTAAACAGGGCTTAATATCAACATCCAAATGAAATTTGCCAACAACTATAAGCTTCATGGGCAAACACAGGAGGGAACTTTTTTACTATAAATAGTGTCTTGTCCAAACACTATGAGAATTTCGTAGTCAGTTACACAATAGACAAAAGGGAGTGCACAGAGTACTGCTGACAGTATGTATACACAACTCAAGGTGCTGTTATTTTCCACATGACCTACATGATGGGCAAAATTGATTATTACTGCACAGAAGCACTATTGAGGGATAAAAGCTACCTGAAAAGGTTTTTCGTATTTTTCCAAGCAAAAAAAAAAATTCATATTGCACGGCACAAAGAAAAACAAAACTTTTCTTTCAACTGAAGGTGTTAAGGGGTTAATATCAATAGTTTATTGCTTGAAAAGGGAGTCAGTCCAGATATTATGTTTAATTACATTATTTTCCTACATACCTGAAGCATTCATGGATCCACAAACGTGTTATGCTTCCCTTGGTGTCATGGAAGTCCTTATGTGCTCTAAGCAGGCCTTGAAATACCTTGGAAATATCTCTAAGATTAAACAGGTAGTGAATCTTTGCAGGTGTGGGAAGAAAACGCTGTACAACAGCTTGGTAGATTTCCAGTGTGGCCTGAGTCATGGTATCACCAATTGGTTTGACATCCTCCTCAAAATCCTGCAGTTTCTGGTTGATCATTGTGCCAAAAATGCGCTTGATTTGGGAGTCCTGCAGGATGCACATAAAACACATAAAGGCTCTTGACTATAAACTTACATTTTAGTCTTTCAAAATCAATTTGAAGATTTTCAACATTGATTAAAATTACATATTGACACATAAAGGCAATGTACCCTACACAGATGATTATTAGACAAAATGATAACCTGGTCGTAGGTATTATCTAATGAGGAGCTTGAGAATGCAGCTGTAAATGCATCCATATAGTTGCCGTTGTTTTTGTTCTTATGACAGCTAAGTTCAGTATCATGCCTTGTACAATCCTTTGTCAGTCACACAAACAGCAATTTATGTGACCAAATATCATTTCACATGCAACTCACACTTGGAAAAGTCATGTTGATCAGGTTAAACCTGCTCTGCAATCGACTTGAGATGACCATTCGACCACCGCCTGGTGGCCCCATGGCGGCAAGCAGCTGCATGTCCTAAAATATTGGAAGAAAATGCAAAACGATAATTTTTATTGATAGCTTGTTAAACTAATTCATCAAAAGGCTGAGGAGGACACACAAGCATTATTTATTCTCAGACAACACACAAAACAGCCCCCTTGATGAAGGCTTGACTTTTGGGCATACCTTTCCTAGTTGCTGGTTTATTAAATTTGTACTTTCACCCTTTACTAGAACTTCGGCAGCTTTTTAATGGGGTATGCTTGGCCTCATACTTGCCACGCTCAGCATACACGGCCCAAGTCCTTGGCTTGCTTGCCAACCATTCACCTTACATACACAAGTAAAGCAACCAAAATTAAACACTAGCCCCACTGGCATGAGTGGGTGCTTCCCAAGATGCTTAGAACTAGTCAGTTGTCTTATGCCTGAAAATAGGTTGAGAAACACGCTGTTGGAACAAGCCCCACTAAAACAAGAGGATACTTGGCGCACAATTTCCAAGATTGCGCATAGAAGATTAAATGTTAACATTCAAATTCACAGTTTTATGTAAGGCCTTCCAAATTTAAGTTCTTTATCATTCTAGCTTGAATCGGGGCACTGCTTATTGCTCCAGGCAAATTCCAGCTATCTCTTTATTTCCTGCTAGTGTATGATGGAGAAGGGGAGACAGTGGGAATATTGGACAAGCAGCGGCTTCTTCAGGCTATGCTGAAGCGGCCTTTACAAGCTCACAAGTTAGCACATCATGTTGAATTATAAAAATTGTATAATTTTCATTGCTGCATGCTGTTAGATATCATAACTCTTGAGCTATGAACATTCTTCACTTCCTTCCAGCAAGGAGAGATGCAGGTGGCCAGGTGCCTGCAGTTCAAGCAACACGTTTACTATACCATTCCAACAAACAGCTGATTAGGCAAGAGTTTGTCAACAAATTGTGTGTGTGCCGAGAATAATGCATTTTATCTGGGAGTGATAAAATACATTTAGTTAAAAGAGTAAAACACCATGAAAAAGGAATTCTTTGATCCTTTGCTGTGGCAATCAGTTACCAAGGGGTTACCACAGACAAAAGTATTACATTTATACACAAACTTGTGTTATGCAAACAAAAAATGCCACACCACCAGGACCGCACCCATGACATGGCATTAATGTTTTAACGTCAAGCTAGTCCAGCCAATAGTGCTTTTGTCTTGTTCAGATTATGCTGTGCTAATGTATAAAGGGAACATGTACCAAAAATTCCCCCAAAAAGCAATTAAATAAAAATTCAGCTTTTCTGCTGGGAAGTAATTAATTGGCTGTAAAAGTGAATAGACCCCATACAAGAAATAGTAAAAACTAACACAGTTTGTCGACTCACGGAACAAAACAAAGGCCTTTTCACTTATTACACCCTTCCCAGACTTACTGGATTACCACAACAAAGTATACACATAAATGTACATGTACCAGAGCCATGTGGTCAATTGTAAATAGGGAAATCCCCAGCTGACATGCGGAAAGACTGCACAAAGTATACACGTACAAAGTGTCTGGTGTATATTGCTATGGTCCTTGTTTTGGATGTGTTGTGGCCATAGAGCTATATATGAAAACTAGAGCGGTAGCTTCTCATTTTCCGTGAGGAGAAAATTAGACACCTTCCTGGGAAATCAGATAGAATCAATATCGAATTATGTACTCCAATGCAACATACATCAGGTGCCACTAAAATCCAATTTAAAAGGTCACAGCAATATTATCTGCAGTGCATAAAATAAAACACTCATTCACTGATTGTACATTAGTTTTTTGGGGTATTGGCTTTGTTGACATATTGTTTCAGAATACAGACGCACATATGCAAATAGCCGTACAAAACTTAATATGATATTCCAAGATAGGTTTGTGCAAAAATGTGGATGTGTCACTTTGTAGATGAGTCAGGGCTTTTGCTTTTGCATATACAGTTGACTCTCAGTAATATGAGGGCCTCAGGACTCACTTAATCATCTTGAATTATCCCGAATGTAGTCTGAAGTGAAAAGTATTTTCCCATTCGTATGTGTCATTTGTCAATCATACTACTGTTGTTGGGTAATAGATTTGCTTTCAAAACAGTTCAAACATGCTCTTTATGAAAGTGTAATGTAAATTTAGATTAATTAAATAAAGAATTGTTACGACAAAACATGTATTATACTGTAATTGAGAAGAACAAAGTGGAAAAATAATCAAATGCAACAAGGCAAGTAAGACTCATCACTAGTCACTGTCAAATCAATGTCACCTGTACCGTATGGTAGCCATTGCAAGAGAATGTGAACATAAGTACATGTACATTAACATTTTAGTAGGTGATCGACAACACAGATGCTACTATACACATGTAAAAAGCGAAGGAAACCAGTGAATTTTTTGATGGACAACAGAGGCTGTACGTCAGGGCCTGGCTTATGTTTATAGCGGGAAACTAATTTTTTTTTTACTTTTTCAATTTAGAACTCATAAATTTGACTCCCAAAAGGACATATACGGGCAAGGGAAGAACAGATTTTAATGACAAATGAATTTTACATAAGTTTGTAAGTCAGGTAGGGGCATTCTTCTATTCTATTCTCTTTTTCACGTTTTGGGGGGGAGTTTGTAACAAGTTTGCTCTGGATGGACCCTCTGGTGGTCTGGGAAACACACGCCCACTGTCTGTCACGTTTGTTCTGATTGGGCAGCATGAAAGTACCCACAAAGAAAACGTGTTGATCGTTTGGGGATCTACAAAGCCATCAAACCACAGTCATGGATTAGAGGGCATTATAACCACACCTAGTACACTAGCACGTTTATTGAATGGGTTCACTGATTGACAAGTTGTTTTCAAAATGCTTGTGCAAAATAGAGAGATAAAAATACATCTGCACTCGACAGAATGGGAAAAAGCTCTCGTCTTATCCCAAATCTTGTATCATCCAAGCTCGCATTAAGCCTGGTTTCCAAACGGTCATTTGTAATGCAGACAGTGCGCAAGATGTGAAGATGCAGATGAAGACTTTAAACCAGGCTTCAAAGATTTTTTTTTCTCATAGGAAAGAACACACTTTGGTCAGGACTGGCAAAATATGCTCGTCTTAACCGGAATTTTGTCTTACCCGAGCTTGTATTACTGCGCGTCGACTGTAGCTCTATGGTTAGGGTGCTGTAGCTTGCTTTTCATCATCAATGCAACGTCATTGTGAATATAAATAGAAACCCAACACCCTGGATTGTTAATGGCAAAACTTACTCTATCAACTGATAGGCAATTTAAGACTTCATCTTTCAGGATAAACGTCTTTTACTGCAACCTCCGGTCTGATGATGTCATTAGCTTCAAACGTCACACATTTGTTCCTTAAGTGAAGGTCATCATATCTACCAGTTTTTACGTGATTAGAACAAACTTCACCACGGATATTGACTCAAAATACATTTTTCAGTTTTTCCAACTTGCTGCCAGAGGGTGCTTGAGGATTTTATGATGTCACCGGTACGTGGTTTGAGGAATGCTATTTGGTTGAAGACTAACACTGTTGAAAGCAAGTTCATATCTATTACCAGTTTTAAATGATCAGGCACTTCTGATTTTGACCTGAAGGAAAGTTCACATGATTTTACGTACAGGAGATGAAATGAAGATTTAACCCGCGCTATCACTTGCTGCAAAAAGCAAGTCATGGAAATGCACTATTGATTTTATACAGAGTTTTAAAGATTCAAAATAATCAAATTTTAATTGCTTGAAATATGGTTCAATAGGATTTTGCATAAAGGTCTTTGGTGTACACTTTGATGAAGATACAAGATTGCTAAGTGACAAAAATGGTGCTTTGAAAAGTATGTACAATGTCAGTGTGCAAAACCAAATATTCAAAAATTATTTATACATCACCTGACAATGTCATCTTTATGTCATTAGTTTTATATTATTTTTGAATTAAGGTCTGTGCTTGGCGTAACTTTAGTTAAGGTCCAAGTCCTTTAAGTGACTAAAATGAACCCATTAAAACTGTGTACAAAGTCAGACAAAGCCAAAATTAAAAAAAAAAATAATAAATCACGTGATGATTTCATTCTTACGGGATTGTCTATGCATCAGGGTTCTTCACTGGTATAAGTTTGATGTTGAACCAATATTGGAAATATACTAAAGTCAAGGGTGAAGAAACATGCACGAAGTGAATGGACTTTAATGGAGAAGAACATGCCAGAAGAAAAAAAATGGGAAGAAAAAGAATGCCTTTTTAGTAACATTGAGAAAAGAAGGAAAGACTACTGGATGTACATGTACATGTACATAAACACAGAATGTATGGTACCAGTACCTTAAATAATTACAAATAAAGCACCAAAGAGAGACCTGGAAGGGTAACATTTTAAAGGTAACTTCGGTTCTGATAGGAAAACCTTTTTTGTTGTTTAACTATTTATGAGCTTCACATATGACTTAGGAGTCCAAAATGGAAGAGCTCCTGGAGAACAGAGATAACCTATGTTACATGTTTGAAGTTGATATGTAATGTTCTCATCAATTTATGATGGGCAAGCCATTTCTGTTGTTTTAAAACTATTGGCCTTAACCTTTGACCTATGGGTCAGTTATCAGTAGACTTCTAGAGAACGGCAACACAAACCCACTGCCAAATTTTTGAAGTTGATATACCAAGTCCTTCTTCGGTTATGGTGCAAACCACGTCTATTGTTTAGCCATAATGACCTTCAGCTTTGATCTACTGAATCCCCAATCAGTATACTTCTGGAAATATTGAAAATCAACCCATATTCTTGGTGTAAAACTGACATGTTATCAGAAGAGTAAATGCTGCTCATAAGAGTCAACATAATGACATATCTGTAAACCTTCTATTTGGACAGTAGAATAAAAGCCAACAGCGTCATTGTGTTTCAGAAGACCAAGACTTTTGTCAATATCTGACAAAAACTGTCGATACAATTTTGAGTTTATATTTAAATTTTGGATATATTTAAATTACATTGGTGATGGGTAAAGCATCCAGTACTTGAGAGATATAACTAGTTTTTGATTTGTACCTTTATGTATTTTGACGTCTGCTTGAGGCGATCATACCAGAATCCGTAATCCATCCACAGCTTCATAAGTTCTAGTGGAGGTTGGGATCCAAATGTGTCCTTTGCAGGCATGTTGAAGTCATCCATCAGGGTTAACAGTTTCTTGCCGCCGATGGGAACATATACCCCTTCAATATCAATGAGTTTTGATGGTAACAAGTAGGAAACTTGATTGGTACACTAATTGACTGATTGATTGGTACACTGTACAACACTTTATCCAATCAGATTCAGTGGGGTTGTGAAAATATCCTTTAAATCTGGTTTATACATGGCACTGTAAGCTGAAAATTTATATCAACACTTTGGACAAGTTTGATCAAGCATTACTTATTCTAATGAACAGCCAGTGTAGTTTATTCCTAATGTATCATGCTTGTGTGTATTATCATTTAATTGTGAAAAATCCAGTCAAACCACATGTCAAAAGTCACAACCTTGCCACTGCTGTACCATGCAATGCTCATCAAGATAAGAACAATTACTGATAGTCAGAATAATACAGTTTGGCAGCAGTGTAACACAAGTGAATCTAAATCTACTGTTGTTGAATGAATAGAGTGTATGCCCACTCAGAGTTTTACAACTTTAATAAGGATTTTTTACAAGAAAAGATTCCAAATGAAAAGAAATTCCCAAATTTTCTATGATTCTCATATAATGTCCACCCATTTGGTTTCCCAATATAATGATCAACTATGGCAAACTAATTAAGTAAATGTAGCCATACCTTTGGTTCTTTTCTCCACCCGACTCTCTATTATCTCTTGCACGTTATTAGATGATGTCTGTGCAGACATGTTGATTGTCAGTACACTGTACTTGGCTGCATCTAACTTGCTGCACACACTCTGTGCAATAGATGTTTTGCCAGTGCCAACTGGACCAACTAGAAGCACAGGCTGAACTGCACCAATCAGGGCACTGACCAAGAAATTGTACCGCACAGTGTCCACGGTAGGTACCATGATCTTGTAGAATGGAGCACTATATAAAGAAAAAAAAGTAAAAAAAACAAACATGTATGCAATTTTTGATGTGCAGATGTGTACATTTGAAAACTGAGACCAGTAATACATATTCCAGTAAAATTTAGCAAAATGTTGTTCCACAAGCTCAAGTGTTACTTACTTTGTGGGATATCTCCAGCCACTCCTGAGCTTGTCTTCCCAGTGAGCCCAGTTCTTGTTCTTAGAATCCACATAGTACTCATATACAGTGTCCTTGTTCGGGAAGGTGCCTTCAATTTCACGAATGTAGTTGTCTAGCTTTTTGCGCCCGTCTTCATCCACAGCTGAGCAGACAGACCAAATCAGACAGAAGAGAAACCACAGCTCAATCATGCGTTCATAGTTCTCCTTATCTGATGGGTTCACCTGAAATGTAAAACAACAGTTTGTTTATAGTTGGTTCTAACCCCCACAGATGCTGTGAGTAATCATGTACTTAGAGGTAAATGAAGCACCACTATTTGTACACACACATTGACAAATTCATTCCTGCAATGGGCTACATTAAGATGAAATCTATTCATGCCTCCTGCACAATTTGTATCAGTGGTGGGAGATATTGGAGATTTTCAAAACCGGTTAACCGAGCTTTGAAAAGCAGTTATCCAGTTATCTGGTTTTGTTGACCTTTTGAAAGCAGGCACATCTCACATGGCATGACGATTATGAAATTCTTCCATTTAGCATCGGCCACAGCGGGTTCTACAATTGTGGACTTCGTGGGTAAATATTATGTGCACTCCGCAAAAAATTAAACCATAGTGTCTTTTAAGTTTGCATAGTCCAGATGTGTCATAATTTTCACCAAAATAACATTTTTGTCAACACTCAAATCATTGTTTTTAGTTTGCCGAACAGTATAAAAAAATTAAGCGACACTTAATGAATTTTATGGATGACTGGGCTACACACTTTCCAAGCTTAGTCCAATCTGGGCTGGGTGAGCAACACAGCATTACTAAAGAGGTTACACAACGGATTATATGAATGCAAAGAACACAAAGGCACAAGAAAGAGGAAAAGAAGGGTGGGGCATGCTAACTTTCATTTTCTCACAAGCAACCGAAGCAAAAGTACCACTTCACATTCTCACCACGACAAACACCAGGACCGTCCATTACGTGCTACATCAACTCAATCTCAGCAGAAAGTTGTGAGTACAGCATTTTTCCGCATAAAGCAGGACCATGTTCAAAATCAAATTTTGGCGTCACCAAGGCATGACAGACAAAAAGGGTAGGTTGGAGAAAATGACCTCACTCCTCAGTTCTGCTGGAGACTTGGAACATATTGGATCTGTCAATGCAATTGGACAGCACACCATAACAATGACGGCACCATCTTTCTGGACACTTCAGAGTCTGGCAGGAGGCGTACCATCAAGACAAATGGGACAGAGTAAAAGCAATATTACTCAGGAGTTGGCACAAGGGAGACAGAGGACTGCTCCTTTAGATCAACACCTGCAGGGTACACCTGGATTGGAACGGGGCCGAATCCTGGTTGAACCCTCTCTAGCTCTGGGCTTGTGTATAGATAGTGAACATGAGTCCTTAGGCTCAGAAAGGATAGCTCCCTTTTCCGCACCACTTCCCCTCGACACAGTTCCGAAATTCAGGAAAAAAATTGAGTAAATGAATATGTAGATTTGGTAATCTACTTGACCCCAACCAGGCGTCTTGAAGCTACATGTAGTTCCCAGTAGCAAAAAATTGCCTAAGAAAAGAATGAATGAATGTTGGCCTTTGCAATGTTTGCAACAATTTATATTGCAAAGTTCCCAGAAGACAGTGCAAGTGTCCTCAAATACAGTAAAGTCATATGACAGATAGTTAACAAGGGAGGCAATTTCTATGAGTATGTCAGTTTCAGAAAATTGCATCAAGTCACTAGTCTCCCATGGAATAATTCCCATATGGAGCTTTATCTGAAAGCAACCTCTTCCAATAGGAATAAAGATGGTAAGGAGGGCCAACAAGGAGAGAATTACTTTAGGCCTCGCAACAGATCATATGTGACAAATCAGTTTCAGCAACTTGGCTTTTATTTTTGTTACAACAAGGGGCTACTGTGCAAAGACGGACGCGCTTACAAATACAAATGTGCAAAGTGTGTAGGGAATCACCTGGCAGTGCGCTGCAACTTTTGAGGTTCAGTAATTTCAGAACCGGAGGGAAAACATTTTTCAGTTAACACAGCAAGCTCGAGACAATTCAGCTCTCAATATTCACTTCAGCGACATCCCACAAACAGAAATGCAGAAACAGGGCAAGACCATTCACAAAGCCACGGACAAACTGCCAATGCCTGTGAGTAAATCATTGGCTTAGTCGAGGACGCATTGTCAAAAACCTAATTGAGACTCAAACAGCTGCAGTCCATCATTAGGTGTCTCATTTTTGCTTGTAAAGTGGTCAGTCATACCTTGGAAAGCATTCTTCAGAAGACTTATTAATCTAACACTCCGTGTCAAAAACCTGAAACATTTCATATGGATTAATGCACTAGCCAAAAAAAAAAAAAACCACTTGCATGCTGGGCTTTCGTTTCTACGTCAATTCAACGTTAAAGCTTTTTTCCCATTTCAAAACAAGTTACAAGACAAGTACACTGCATTTCTCTTCCGATGCATCAGATCAGGGCTCCAGTGCAGTTTTTCGCTAACAGTGGGTTTTTGGCCAATGGCCAGAGGCATGGGTCAACGAGAATATCATGCTCAAAGGATTATTTTCATGTGTACATATGGGGAAAAGTCTTTGCAAATAAACGGATAATCATCCACATGGATAATTCCCTATTAGTAAGCATTACTAACAAGAATACAAAGAATCTAAATTGCACAGGATCCAGATATCAGATGGTGATGTACTGCAGCATGTTTTTTTTAGCCTTTGCGGCATTTTTGAGAATTGGGGACATCACCGTGTCAAACCGCAATACTGTGAATGCGCTGAAAATAAAGAACATTCATGAGAACATCAACAATGTGAGTTTGTCCACAGTATTCGAACATTATAAGCACCAACAGCAAGCGCACCCGTTTGGAAATCGCACGCACAGGAAATGTGTTTTGCCCTGTACACGCTCCAATGAGCAGTCTCCTATAACGGAAAGCTCTTCACTCTCAATTTTTGTATTGCTGGCCTAATGGATAGCCCGTGCAAATGCACTATAAATTTGCAAGTTTAGACCCCAAGCTGTACACGGGTCACGGTTTTCAGATAGGTGCAGCATGCCATGCCCTAGCGTGTGGGTTCTCTGACGCACAAATCAGGGAAATGGGAAAACAAAGTTTTTGTGTGTTTAAAAATAAATTCAACTTTAAAATAACTAACCACAACCTGAAACAACTGGGGTGCAAATTGAACACGCAGGGAGCTTGAGAGTTTTGGGGGAACCCCGCCATGCCATTACCCCTCCAAAACATGAGAAGGCAATACATCAGGAATTTTAAGTTAAGATAAAGACTGAACAGTAACGATAACAATAAATATGATTTAAGGTCAAGTCTTCTCCTTGAGTGCAAGACTTCTAGTGACAGAGCGGGCCCTACTGATAGAGTGTTGAACCTGGTGACAGCTGTGCCCTCTTGCAATCAAATGCCTCTTCAGTTCCTAGAAGTGATGGGAGAAAGCATCTCAGTCTGAGTGCTTGCAGTGTCTAGGGTAAGAACTGGATGAGTGAAGATACTGATGGGTATCTGTGTGCTTGGAATAAAGGTCAGTAGTCACAAGGTTGTTCTCCTTCCGGATGCTGATATTGAGAAAGTTTGCCTGATGGAGGGAATATTCTGAAGTGAAGTTAATTGTCCTGTGAAAAGAATTGTTATGGTTAACGAAGATGTCATAGCCACTGTCACTGGTCCAGATGAAAAATACATCATCAATGTATCTCCATCAGATCCAAGGGCGGCATAGTGCTGAAATACATGTAAGCATGCGCTCTTCTGGGTTACCCATGAAGAGGCAAGCCATGCGGGTGCCCATAGCTGTGCCATGTACCAGTAGATAGTGTTTGCCCATGAAGGAGAAATTGTTCTGGTTAGCACAAGTCTCATAAGCATCACGACATCGCTGATGGGGGGAGTTGTGTGTCCACTCTTCACGAGAGCAGAGCAGCAGGCATGAATACCTTCTTCATGGGGAATGTTAGAAACATCAAAGGTCCAAATGATGGCTGTGCTGGGAATCTGGTTCTTGATGTTTTCCAGCTTTCGTAGGAAGGCTGGTGTGCCGTGGATATATGACGGGATCTATGGAATGAGGGGTTTGAGAGAAGTGTCAATGAACAGAGAGATGTGTTCAATGGGCAATCCATTTCCAGAAACAAGGTTATCCTGCCTGCCTTGTGGATCTTGGGGAGTAGATAAACCTACCGGTAGTAGTTCTAAAATCGATAGGGGACAGAAACTTCAGACCTTTCTTAGATAGTTGGTCACTATACGCATATCATCCAGTACATATACCTGCTGAATCTGAGAATGTTCAAGTGGGGTCTAAATTGAGATGGATATGCTTGTAGTTAGTGTGATTGTTAAGTTGGCGATGGGCTTCATCAATGTATTGCTGTCAGTCCATAATTACCATAACTGCACATTTATCTGCTGGCTTGATGATGATGTCAGTGCAGGAGCACAGGGAGTTGAGTGCACATATCTATTTCTTTATTTCAAGGCAAATCCTCAGAGTGTCTTGAATATTTATATCTTTTATTAATCAAATGAACTATTCCATATAGAAACTGGTCTGGAGTTCAAGGTTTGTTTAGCTAGCTTGACATGGATTAATATAAATACAGCCAGCAAGGTCCTGCAGAAAATATGGAAAATGGCACAGTCCCTAAGCAATAAAATTAACATTAGTCTCATTAGATGCTTTTAACAAGCATCTTTCTCTTAAATGCAGCGAGAGATTTCAAAAGGCGCAACAGTGGAATGGTGAATATCTACTAATTCAGCTGTAGTTCTGATCAGTTGGCCTAACAAAATATTCAAGAAACCAGTGTACATGTAGTTTAATATGCATTATAGGTATTTTGACAACTTATGCCATTACTTGAAATTTGCTGAGTGAACCCTGGTTGTGTTAACTTACTCCATTTTCTTCAGTTGCTAATGCAGCAAAGAGTTTGCAGAGGGACATCACACCATTCAGTTCAGAAATAGGTACCAGTTCATTGCAGTTATGTTGCTTGAAGTCCTGTATTTTGATCAGGTACTTGTCAAAAAGCCTCTGAAGAATTTCTTGGGAATGCTGTTTTGAAAAATTAAAAACAACACCCGTAAACAACATTGATCTTTAAATTGTTGGATAAATGATGGATGTGAAACCTGTAACTTCAATAGAAATGAAAGACAGATTCTTCTCTGAAAAAGTGCCACATGGATGAATAGCTAAGGCATATTATGGGACTGAAAAGACTTGTGGAAGTTGAACAAATAAGCTCACAGAAGTATCAACAACCAGATCACAAACTCTTCATTAAGGTGTGTTTTTGATTCAGTAAAAGGGAAGACACTTGATTTATAACTGGGTCATTTTATCAATTTTGGGACCATACTTTTATGTCCATCACATTTGATATATTTTGTAAAAGTTCAGAGCACATTCTTTAATTTGCAATCTTGAGTGAGTAATGCACATTATCTTCAAAACAAGTAAAAGTAGTTTTAAATAAATTCTAATGCTATTACCATATCAAATTATACCGGTCCACACTGCACGTATGACAGGGTCACTGTACTAATGTCATACTTTAGACTCGGAATTTATAGGAGACCCTTCAGCCTCTTCACAAAGCACATTCTCAGAAGCTGATTGATCACAAATTCACAATTTGACAAACTTAATGTCCAAATAGGGGAAGGAATTTTTTGGGCACAAAATAATTCACAAATGACTTCATAGTTTGATGGGAGCTTTATAAATGCCATATTTACTTGTTCTATTTATGTTTAGTGTAGGTATCATTGCTATGGAGGTAAAAATTTATTTTGATCTTTCAAATTGAAAACTGTCTCAAAATGACAAGTAGAAAAAAAATTAAAAGAAAACATGTTTTCTTTAGAGGGGCGCCATATCCCCCCCTAGAGGTCATGATAGCATGGGCGTAAATCCGGGGGGGGGGGGCAGTATATATCCCCCTTCCCTTTTTTAGGTGGGGATGGGCTACTGAATCATCCCCCCACTTATTTTGTGATGAGCAAAAAAAAGTAATAAAGTGGATTGTTGAGAACTTTCACGATGTCCCGACTAGAATGTTTGCAATATCACTAAAAAGAGAAACGATTTTATAAAGCCATAAATATGCCATTCTAATGTACATGTAAGATTCTGCATGAATTTGATACACATTAGAGATATACATCTTTATCATGAACATCGCCCCTTGTGGTGTATATGGTGTCAACCCCCCCCCCGCTTTTCTAATATCCATGGTCGGGAAGTCATCCCCCTCCCCCACCTTTCTGCATCCCCTATCCCCCAATTTCCAACACAGATTTACACCACTGGTGATGGTCACCAAGAATTTTACAGTGAAAAGCTTCCCACACTTGTTTGGCTCCGGAGTAGTCCTTTCCTGCTTTTGAGTGTTAAAAGAACAATTTCTGAACTAAATGAAATACATGATTTGCCATTCAAGAATCAAATGACTTTGCACTGCAATTTATTTCTTCAATAAGTAATTTGCTTCAAGGAATCCCCTTGATAAGGATTACATGAAGAAGTGCCTCTAGGAGTTACAACATTATTTGTAAAAGGCAACTGGGATAGCAAAAATATGGACCCAAAATGTACAGAATGGCCATGATGGGATGTGCACATGTGCATTCCTGGGAAAGTTTATCAGATGTTTAGTATCTATCAAAATGGTTTTGTAATAGTGCAACTGTTACCCTTAGAAAAGTTCTGAGCTAATAACAGTTTGAAGAAAAAAAGGAGAATGGAACCATACCTTGTCTGATCTTTTCTGCAACCAAGATGTGACATATGGCTGCCATCCTGTGTCAGCATAGTCCATGTAAACCATACCACAACGGCTCACAGTGGCCGGGGAAGCAACAGCTAAATTCTCGGTTTCAAACAGCAATGTTACCTACAAAGATAATATTGCAAAAATCTACTATTTGTAGTATTCCATCCACTCAAACCTTCTTTTAAGCATGAACATCTCTGTACCACATTTGTAGGGATGTTCACAGAATTACTGTAATACCACAGCTTAACTCTAAAGAACAATATTTGACTTTGTAATTAATAAACAATATCAACCAAAATATGTATTCAAGCACATAAACCATGCACTAATAATATGTTGCAGATTAAAGTTTCCCTAATGTCCAAAGAGTGTGCTCCCGGGAACTGACAGCTGATATACAATCTTGGTTGTAATTTATTTTAATTGAATCTCATAAACTGATGGCTAACTGAAGTGCAAGTTGCAACAGCCTTCATTTTGTTTTTGACCATATACAGTACAGCTCAGAATTTTAGCAGACACACAAACACGAACAGTGAACCTGACATGCTGTTCAATACATGCTTCACGTTTTTTTGCATACATTGCTGGTCCAATGCAAGATAAGCCAGGCTGTGGACCTCATTATGTCAATGGGCTTGTGACCACAGATCAGACAGTTCAACCATCAATGTGTAGTGAACAACTGCATACACAGTGAAGTGAACTCTGCATAAAGTCAAGTCAAATCATGCAGCCCTGCTGACATGGTTCTGGATCACGAACATTTTTCAGTTGGATTGCATCTAAAAATTTTCAAAATCCAGTGAAATTGATCAGTAGTCTACAGTCTACCTTGTGTGTTTAGATATTCCATAATAATTTCTACATTTGAGCTTGAGATCGAAGAAAGTGATGACGATGCTATTCCTAGTTCCAGATCGGTTTTAAGTCATTCTGGATCGCGGAAAAAATTATTTTCGAATAAAAAGTAACCACGGGAGAAATCTATTTCTCAGCCAGAACCATTAAAATTGAATTAAAACTGAACATTGAATTTACGTAAATTTTTACTCCACTTTTCCAGCTGCACAGCAAGCCATAATACTTTTCTGTGCACATGTATTATGCTACAAAACAAAAAACGTCACCCAGTACATGTATATGCATAGTGCGGTACTGGGCAATCACGAAATCACAACCACCCCAGTGCTTTCATCCCAACTACCAATCATAAAACAGAACAGCAGTATTGCATATTCATGTAAATATATCTCCTACAATAATCAGCTACAGCCATCATTGTGCGTCATAACATGCATATGTGTGAAGCTCATCTCTACCATGTCCATACAGATTTTACATCCATTGTATTATCATTCACCATTTGTCTGTAAATTGTCAGCAGTTGCGCATACAGGTGATACTGCGGGCATTCCCAAACTCAAGTTATAGACGATTTGCAGCATTTATATGCAAGGTTTCAGCATTCGTTCTGCTGGGCTGGTTCTATGGAACATTTTTGGCCATTTCTCATTATATACAGCAACTGGCAGGCAGTGGTTATTGCTGGCAGTGTGCATGCAGAGGAAATCTGTCCGGAAATTGTCCATCCTTGTTGATACTAACCTTTTCCCTTGCGTTGGTGATATTACCGGCATGACAAAGCTTGAAGCAGCACCTGGGCCCAATCTTTTTATCATTGGATGCTTCTTTTGGTTCTGACTTCCATTCTTTTTGGTGTGATCTTTGCCATTTAATTTGGTTGTAATTGTGTCACAATCAGCACGATCTTTTCGTTTTGATAGATTTTCCAGCTGCATGGTCATAAACAGACTTGAATAATCGCTACATTGGATCAAATTTATATTCACGATTTTGTACACACTGAACTCGAGTACAGCAACAACTTTTATGCAAATGTTAGGATTGCCGCTGTGGGGGCCATTCTGATTCTCTGTAAGTTTTTGTACATAAAGTAGTTTTCTCTAATACTTTGTCTTAAAATCTACTACATGTAGTTGCAGTTGTGTTGGCTGAAAAAAGGATTTCACGCTGGATTATTTTCTGTGCCTGATCATTTCTGCACGGATGTTTTTTGAGCGATCCAAACCTGGATAAACCAAACATGGAAAAGTGATGCTGGTGCTCCACTTTCCTCAATCCTGTAAGTCCCATTAAAAAGCTTTATCTTTAAAAATAATTTTATGATATATCGTACATATAAGGTAAACTACGGACCACATTCCAGCACTAGTTGAACTGCAATTAAGCTCAATATTTTTCGTTATCCAAAACAAGGAAAATAATTGTGTCGGTCAACAGAACAGAGCGCTTGCAGTCCTGTGGCTTGTGTGTAGCATGTGTAAGTTTAAACTGGGCAGATTGGATTACATCATCGGTGTTCTTTGTTATGCAGGAGTGAGCGTGTTTTGTGTCTGCAGTTAACTCCTTCCGTGTATATTGAATTCAATACACACTGAAATGCTACAGCGTGTATCGTGTCGGCTAAGAATCTGATCTGTACTGTATCTAGTACAACCTGTTTTTTTTAATTAAGGTAAAGTGAAGTATTTGTCATTTTTGCATTTTTCCTCAGTAAAAAAAAATTGCTAAAAATCTTAAGATGGATTAACAAAAATTTCTTCAAATGTTTACTCTATCAAAAGTGCCAACTTTTTAAAAGTGACCAAATCATGCTTTGAAGTGTGCCCTCTTCTGACACAATAGATCTTGAGGATGTATCTCATTCAGTTAGCTACACCTCAATGATATAGAGGTCAAATGATTCTCTGTACTATCATGGATAAATCATACCACAGGTTTGCAAAGTCTCAAATCAGACTGCATGAGAGCAAGATTCATGGCATTTTCCAAGTATGTCACTTGATACATTTGGAAATGATCATCATACAAAGTACAATTTTAATAGCAATCTGACGGCTTAATCTTCAGACATTTGCAAATGGACCACAGTCCACTCTACCTTTAAAATGGCATCAGCAGAAAGTAATTATTTTCCTTTAATCATCTTGGTAACTTGACCTTTGATCTTGTATCCCAAACTTTGTTACCAACAATTCAAAGGCAGTTTTTCAAGGAAGAGTTATTAAAAAATATCTTTTCTCATCAAAAAGCATCTGCTTTTGGACACATAAAAAATATAAACATTCTTTATTCCCCTTAGGGCAATACCATCATGATCAGTCTCCTCAATGGTCTCCAACCTAGGAAAAGAACTCAATAGTTAGACAGCACAATTAACTGTCCGGTCCTAGTATATCAAACTGACCTGATCTGGCATGGCAATGCGTTCACCATTAATGAGTGTCAAAACTTTATTGTCATCCATGACAGAGTTCATGCTCTCAATCCACAAAGTGTCTACTGGTGAATCAAACATCAACCACTTCTCATCTGGCTTTTCATCTAGGTAAGATATAAAGTGAACAAAACAAAGAAATGTGCATTGTTACATGACAGAAAGGATCAAACTTCACAAAAGGCATAACCACATTGTTGGGAGTGCCCACTTAAACTGACCCCCACAATGTATTGATAGAGAAACCTATACTTAAAACATGACAAACATGCAGACCCTTATCATGTTCCTTTCAACAAAACCAATACTCCCAAAATTGAAATGTGAACTAGGAATCCAAACTCACTTCGGATGCTGACATTAGTAATTTTTAAATTAATAATTAGCATTGAGTAATCCTCAAAATATACAAAAAAAAATTACTCATGTTCTCTACCAAAGAAAATTTATGTGATGTGACAGGCAAACATGCACTAAAGATTACTTAAACACTAAGTTTTTTATAGTAGTTACTAATTACTGCACATCTTTAAACAAGTCCCCTGGAAAGTGATGTACTTTTACCCTGGGAAATATAGGTTCTAACATGAATGTGAAAATTCAATGTGTTTTGCAACGTTTTGAACTGTCTTTGTGCATGAGCTTGACATATTCAAAATGTGACAGGACCGTTACTCAAGCAACTTACACTGAAAGACAATGCTATTCACTCTCATTCTCACAAGTTCCTCTGATCTGGCCATATTTATTATCATGAAGTTTTCATTGTTGCATGCACTAGTAAAAAAGTAACTGTATATATATGGTACTGAAACCAGGGATTCCCATAAAGTAGAATTCTAATCCAACAATCTGTACTTATAAAATAAGCTGCAAAAATTTGATGTTATTGATGTTAATATCTGGATAACTGCATCTGTTCCTGTTAAACTGTATTTTGAGGGTAAAAAAATGACTTATTTACACAATACATTAAAAAGAACCTACATTAACAGTATTAAGTAACGACTTCCACAGAGTGAACTTGTCAACACACAACTTTGCATATATCCATAAATGTGCAAATACCTTCTGACTTTCTTTACCAGTTCCTAGATTTTCCAAACACAAATCCTCAATGAGAATATGTCAAATGAGGACCCGTTCAATCACTTTCAATTTGATTTATGTTTCACTGTTACCCATAAAGCCAGTTATTTGCAGTAGTGCAAAACATTTATTTTTCTCGGGGATGTTTCTAGAAGGGTTGAGAAATTTAGTTAAAAATTAACTTTTACACTCCATCAGGCATATATTTTTCTGAAGGGATGTACATCATGCATATTGCAATGTGTGAAAGCCACAGGCTGCTTAGGTAAGTATAGATGTGAAGCCAAGCTCCATCTTTATAAAACAAAACACTGAAAGAAACTTTGCCAAATGCATGCCTGTTGGAGGTAAGTCCACTATTTTGTGTGCACTTTCTCTAATACATGACAAGATTTTCCCTTAGAGATATTCTTGGATTTCAGTTTATTTCGTTCTACTGGTGGGCATCTAGAGGGATAATAGCAACAGGAATTTCCACATAGCAAGTCTTTACAATTATGTATATGGGACAACAAGGGGAACTATTCATAGACTTGCCCTAGAAATAACAAAAACGTGCTGCCCAGATTTTTTGGTTGACATTACATGTAAAGTCATGCTAAATCAGGTAGGTGAAGTAAAACTTCAGTATTCCTAGTTGATAAAACTTTCTAGATGACAAAAAGACTTCCATATTCCATATTCAGTATTCCTAGTTGATAAAACTTTCTAGATGACAAAAAGACTTCCATATTGCCATGTAGGGAAAAAAATTCTTGCTCTAATCACTATAAGTCTCTACCGTGAGATACTTTTAATATAAAGCAAAATTTTGTTCCATCGAGCTTGTTATGAGATACTTACTATATAAATGTGTATAATATAGAAATGTGCACAAAACTGCAGGCTCATAAACTTTGTCATTACATCATGAATCTTATTATTTACAGAATTCAAACAAGTGAAAGCCAACTGTACCTTCAGAATGATTTGATAACCTCAAATAACTTGACAAAATTAAGTCGGCTTTGTACTAGAGGCCCTTATGGAGTCACATAATGTTTGAAAATGCTCCCAGGGCCCTACTCTGAGCATGAAAAAATAAGTGAGACAGACTACATACCAGACTACTTAATTTATATCAGAAGTTTAAAGAGTATACAGGTATTTAAATTTCTTCCCATCTTCTAGTGTTATACACTATATACTACAAAGTACGTCTGGTTTGAATTCTTAAGGCTGCAAACTTACCTGCACAGGTTTGCCTCATGACACTTGATAGCACACCATCCGTCCACTCATTAGTGTTTAGATCAAATTCTCCATACAGCTCTCCCAGTGATAACGCTTTAGGGTTGATTGGAAAATCCTTCATTTGACAAAAAACACAGAGAATTGAAAACAAGGGACTATGCCTGTTGTAACCTCATTTTTAGAGAAACACGTTTGTTCAAATTACATAGATGAATATTTCAATTTCTCACTTTATGTTTCTTTAAATCATCCTCCAGAGCCAAACATCAGGAAAGGAAAAACGTACGTATTACAGAATCAATTTTTAAAATTAAAAGGAGAATCTTGTCCCCTCTTTTGGGTGGCCAAAAAAGGGACATGCAATGGGCAAGAATCGAACCAAGGTCCGTAGGTCCACAAGCCTACACTTTAACCTCTGGACAACGCATTTTCTTGGTTTAATCACAGGGAATCAGTCTGACGATAATGAAAAATGAACTTAATAAAAATGCACTCTTGCTTTTACTGCCATAAGGTCCCTGTCTGGCATGGTGCAAAAGCCCCAAACCACTGTGACCTTTGCGCACAACACATACAAGGGCTACAAGTGTAGCATTGCGGGCACTAGTAACAGATATCACCAATGTGTCAAGAATATTAGCCTGCAGCAGACAAACCTCGCCTTGGGCAAGGATTGCTGATGTTCACTGTACCATGATACACATTCAGGATTACATGTACATCAGCCTTTCTATTGTAACTTTTGATTTGATGATTTTCTGTGTTTAATTTGAGGTTCTATGTTCCACTGCCTTGCCATAACAGTTTTTTCATGTGTGTACTTGAAGTAACTTAAAACACTTTTAGTCTACAGCATGTGACGAGGTCATAATAAAGCACGTGACGAGGTCATAATAAAGCACGTGACGAGGTCATCATGTCATTCCTCTGGGACCACATATGGAGAAGGGTCTTTTGTTGGTGTAACTTCAACATAGATACAAACCTACAAAGTGACCAAAGTGGCTGAGAACAACTGTGCATTAAATTAATGCCATTTTGAAAGAAATATGAAGAAAAAGAATGGAAAACTACAGGTAGTGATTGTAACAGCAACAACCACAGAGCTGTTTCGGATTTCAAGTTGTTTAATGGGGAAAAATAAATAAAAACACATTAATTTAAAAAAGCAATTTGGAATAATTCTTGTATCAAGGTCTTTGTTGGCTGTAGCTTTGATGACGATCAAACATCGGAAAGTTATAAAATTGGTGGTTTCAAAACGTGTACAAAGTCAACGGCAGAAATAAATATTGAAAAATCAGTAACAAATCAGATGATGACGTCATCACAACGTCATCCCTTTGGAATAATTGTTTATCAGGGTCTTCGTTTGCTACCACTCTGATCACGATCTAACATCGCAAATTTACCAAAAATGTGTACAAAGTCAATGGGCTAGAAATGTGTGCAGAAAAACTGTTCCTTTAATTTCATGTCACATGATTTTTGTCTAAACTGGAAAAAAATTATGAAATATTATTTGATAATCTGACTCTTGGGCATATTTGCAAATCGAACGGAAGGGAAAATTTAGTCTGTTTTTTCTTTCGTTCTGGTAGTAATTCTCGGTCGAAGTTGAGGACTGCTCACGCATTATGCTCAAAAATTGCGTAGAACGTGTACAAACCCTATGGCAAAAAATTAAATATTCAAAATTCAATAATAAATCACCTGATGACGTCATAATGGCAATTATTTTCCTAAACCCTATCTAACTGTTGGACCAAGAATCTCCACCTGACATATATCAAATTAGGTTGAGAACAGTGTGGAAATCTGGCTGTTGAAAAACGTGCACAAACTCTATGGAGAAAAATGAAATATTCAAAATTCAATAATAAATCATGTGATGACGTCATCACGAGGAATATTTTCCTAAAACCTCTCTAACTATTTGGACCAAGAATCTTGACCTAACATATATCAAATTAGGTTGAGAACAGTGTGGAAGTCTGGCTGTTGAAAAACATGTACAAAACCTATGGGGGAAAATTCAAAATTCAATAATGAATCGTGTGATGATGTCATCATGACGAATTTCTTCTAGGACCATCCTTGGATGATGGTCTGAAGGTCTGCCAAGTTTGAAGTCAATCAGATTAACAAAACTACCAAAGTCGACTAGTGGAAGAAAATAGTCTGAAAAAAAATTTAACAAAATCAAGAGCTGCTGAAACAGCTAAAAATAGAAAGAAAAGGATGTCTTTTCTTTCCATTGCTGAAAAACTAATGAGAATTATTAACAGCTTCAGAGACAAGGGACTGTCCATAAAGTCAACCAGCTTGACATGTCACGACCAGTGCCTTACGTCAAGTTTCTGCAATTACCCTTGAGGAAGCACTAATGCCATCAACTAAACATGCAAGCAAACACATCCCTTTGATCATGACATACCACCCGTTTAACCTGCGAGTCCGGGATATCATCATGAAGTTCTCTTGCATGTTGCATACCGATCCCATGACCAGCAACATCTTAAGTGAAGACTCAACTCCCCCTGTTGCCTTCCGACATGACCGATCGATTGGAGGGACTTCAGTCTGTTCGGTCATCCCACCACTATGCGATGTCAACAGCGGCAACATCGGCACTGTGGCCTGCAATCGCCCTCACTGTAATACTTGCAGGCTTATCCACAATCCCCCATGCATCAATGGCCGAAAGGCAGTTACACCCCCAGAGGAAAATTCATGTGTACTTCAGCCAACCTTGTATCTCCTGCCAACCATGCAGTGTCCTCTACATTGGTGAAACAAAATGGCACGTGGCTGACCGATTCACCGAGCACCTGCAAAGCGTCTGACATTAACTCCAAGGGCACCCTGTAGCGTGCCACTTGTGACGACATGCACGTGTTGTGTCCTAACCATGACAACATCAGATGCTCGACACTTGGAGACAGAACAGCGCATCATATTCCAGATTGGAACACTGAAACCAGGTTGTTTGAAGGTGGACTTTTCTGCATTCAAACCACTAGTCCCCCCACAGCTCCAATGAAGGCCCAGTGGGGCCAAAATTCTAGCACCTTAGTAAATCAGTGAGCACTGTTTTTTCTCACTTTGTCCCTACATTACCGTCTTTAAAGTACATATGCAAAGGGGAGGGGGGTTGGTGCCGTTACTATGCATGTGTTGTACAAATTCCATCTAGCGGGTACTTTCTACCAATATCTGTCTCAATCCTTACTTCAATGAGGAATCAATAACAGCAGCAGCAGAAGGGCATAGATGTATTACACATGAATTTGTAATTGCAATACTCAACTTCACGCACCTTTCAGATGGGTTTCCAACAAAAAAATTCACAATTTTGGTTGATTATAAAACCTACTTTAAGCAAAGTCTACACAGGAGTAAAATGGATGTACACTATTTTTTGATCGTTAAATTGAAAGTGGCTATCAGCACTAAGACATCTTTGCTCATTCAGAAGGCTTCTGTCACCAACATCCATAATCACACATATAGGTATGTATTAAATGAATAAATAATATCCTTTCATTTTGAACTCTGCCTCATTGAGACTCATTTAACACAGTGCATTTCAAGAAAAGAAACTAAAGGTTGGATAACCAATCTAAAGGGCAAAGGTTGTTGATGCACAAAATTGCTGAACTATCTGGACATTCTATCCAGTTCTATTGTTCTATCTGGGCATTCTATCTGAACTATAAGTATGGAAAAAACATAATTATCCTTAAGGCTTCTCCTTCTTTTTGAGTCCCTATACTACTCCAATCCAGTGCTGGACACAAAGTTTGGCTGTATCATCAGTACATTATCAGTGTACATTCTCTTCCAGTAGTCCGTGACCTTGGGGTTTGGTTGGGTGCATCAGGGACAATGTCAACTCATGTTACTATGTTATGTAGATCAGCATCCTATGCATTATGGAGAACTGGAAAAATACGCAACCTACTTGACCAGAATTCAACTGAAAAATTGATTCATGCCTTTGTTACAACAAGACTCGATTATTGCAATAGTTTGTTTTTTGGCTTGCCCGAATTTGAATTAAGGAAGTTGCAAGTTATTCAAAACTCTGCTGCACGCCTTGTTAAACGGATTAAAAAATCTGAGCATATCACCCCGATTTTTAAAAGTTCGCATTGGCTTCCGGTAAATAAGCAGTTGGAATTTAAAATTGCATGTTTTGTCTATAAGATTATGAAAGGAAAAGCTCCAGATTATTTATGTGAATTACTTGATGTTCGATCAAGTACATGCACATTGCGCTCAACAACTTCTGGAGTAGTTTGTTTACAACAGCCAATTGGTAAAACTAAATACTATGGTGATCGATCTTTCACAATATATGCTCCTCAATTATGGAACAGGCTACCAGTAGCAATTCGCTCTGCTGACACTTTGGATACTTTTAAATCTCACTTAAAAACACATTTATTTAAGGATTATTACTTATCTTGAACTCGTTAGTTTTAATTTCTTCGTTTTATGAATATTTTAATTTAATGTCTACTTTTTTTTATTGTTTAATGTTTAATTTTGTTTTATAACTCCTGTTACTTTGTTTTAATTATTTAAAGTTAATTTAATTATTGCATTTTACTGTACAGCGCTTTGAGATGTCATTGACATGGAAAGCGTTTTTTAAATAATTCATTATTATTAGTAGTAGTAGTAGTAGTATCATTCAGGGTGGTCACATCTGAAGGAGAACAAGGTTTGGGGAGCTGGGGTGTACCAGCTGATTCATAACCTGCTCTTCGCCACAGTCACATGTAGTTGTTCCTTCGGTGTTAAAGCCCAACTGTCCATGAGGACCTTGCAACAGCCAACAGTGTGAAGGCGCTTGAGGCAAGCCCACAAGGGCCATGGCTACTCTGTGCAGAGCAGACTGGAGATGGGTCGACCAAAGGTCTACCTGTTGGGAGTGAGGACTGATGTTGAGGGCCTGGGCTGATTTGAGAAAGCTGTGTCTGGATTTGAGTCTTTTGGGTGGTGGTTCCCTCCTGTAGAGAAGATAGAGTGGGTTGCTCTCTAGTTTTAGCTTATCCTTCTGGGTCAGGACCTGCCTCCTTATTTGTGGAGGTGCAATGCCATACAGCAAGTCTAGTTGGTTTCAGGCAACCTGTGATGGCTCTGTAAGCAGCATTTAGAGCAGTGTCTACCTTGGAGGCATGGGCTGATCTGCACCAGACTGGAGATGCATACTCAGCAACAGAGAAGAAGAGGGCAGGCAGGCTTCCTCAGGATGCCATTCCTTGCACCAATCTTTGCCTTAAGGCTATAGGCCAATGTTAAGGAAAATACTAAAACAGACATACAAAAAGTAGATACAGTCATCTGCAAACGTTCAGGACCACCCTTACAAAATGCATTAACTTGAAGAAAAACTAATCTTAAATCAATTAATCACATCCATGTTTATTTTTAATATGTATTCTACCTTGGTTGAACAGCTATTAGAATACATTTCCATGATTGAAATTTCAACATTCAATTTCAACATTTTTATTTTCTATTTCTGAAGACTTACATGCACACCGGCTTTTTTTTTACCAAGGCATGAGGCATTAGATACAAAATGTCATGTAAGACCTGCCTTTGCCCCCCCCAATAATAATAATAATGAACATTTATACAGCGTCGTATCCGCCGCGAATGGCACTAATAAGCGAAGACATCCAATAACGATGAGGAATATTAACCAAATGCCTGTCTATGCAAATGCCTGTCTATGCAAATGCCTGTCTATGCAAATGCCTGTCTATGCAAATGCCTGTCTATGCAAATGCCTGTCTATGCAAATGCCTGTCTATGCAAATGCCTGTCTATGCAAATATGATTTTAATCTGTCCTGTGTGTCAAGTGATTTCGATAGTCTCACACATTCCGGTAAAGAGTTCCAAAGTTTGGGTGCTTCAATCTGAAAGCTTCTCTCCCCCAATGACAATGAGCCATAGTTGGGTAGATTGCTTTTCAAATTCAATCATTCAAATGGACTCACAGCACTACTCTGATGATATGGACCGCAGTAAAGATGTTATGCAATCAATCACTGAGAAGATGTGATGCAGGCCCAGTGACAGAAATACCAACAAAATTCCAGGCGGTCTTAAACTTTTGCAAATGACTGTATGTTAAAGGTACAAAATGACCAGATAATAACTTAAAAATACTTCTGATAGTATATAATCATGTGATAAATTTGATTGAAATTTTTGGAACTTTAATCAGAAGATGATGAAATTGTTTAGTCAATCATGTATTTGGCAATTGCAGACAATTCAATCAAATTGTCATACAAATAAGAGTATGGTAGTTGCATGAATTTAAACAGAGTGCGACTAGAATGGCAAAGGTGCCAGGCTTGCTGTTTCATATAGATCTAAACTTCTTTACTGCAAAAATAGCTTGTGTTAAGAGATCTGCTGCTAAAGTTAAGAAGAAAATCATACTGAGTGCTAAAAAAAGTGAATAAAATAAACTTGGATGATATATAACTACATTCTGGATTTAACACAGTGACATTTTAAAGGTTTTGCCCCCACCCATTATTCCATCCATCTCTAACTCCACCCCTTTTTCCTTCACCCAATCCATCTCCTCCTCAGCCCACATTCCATCATCCAGTTTATTTCCTATTCCACCCTCTCATTCCATCAGGGCAGGAACTTCATTCTTGAAAGAGCAAGACAATTTGTCATTTGCAAACCCATCCCATCATCCCACCCATCTCCCACTCTGCCCCCGTCCCATCCATCTCCCACTCTGCCCTCCATTCCATCATCCCA